AATGTATTGGTTGGAGAAGTGAATTGGAAGATGGATCGTTCAGTCCTTATGAATGGCAAACTTATTCAGAAGTAATTACGAGGCAACGTAATTTTGGAGCTGGTTTATTTTTCATTTTAATGAACAATCCATTCAAGACAGATTCTCCAGCTCACTTGAAAATTGATAATCATTTGACTCAAAGTAACGAAGATTCATTCGTGGTATCAATCTTTTCGCATAACAGACCAGAATGGATTATCACTGATATGGCTTGTGTCAATTATTCCATCACCAATACAGCGTTGTACGATAGTTTGGGTCCTGAGGCTTCCAAGTACATATTGGAATTAACCGAAAGTCCAGTTGTTGTGTGTACTAAGAGTAAATTGCAACAGGTGATTCAATTGAAGAAAAGCTTTCCTAAGGAATTGTCAAATTTAATTGCGGTTGTATGTATGGATCCTTTGGACTTAGCTAACACCAAATCTAATGATTACCAAACCCTTTTATTAGCAAAGGAATGCAATATTAGTTTGTTTGATTTCAAACAAGTTGAAAAACTTGGTAAAATTTATCCGGTACATGATATTCCATCTACTCCGGACACTATTTATACCATCTCATTCACATCAGGTACTACTGGTGCCAATCCGAAGGGGGTTGTGTTAACCAATCGTAACGCTGTCAGTGGTACCACTTTCTGTGTTTCAAATATGTCGGAGAATAAACCGATGACAATGTATTGCTTCTTACCATTGGCACATATTTACCAGAGACAGAGTATATTTTTCTCTGTATTCCAAGGGGTTTCAATTGGATTTCCACAATCCTCATCGCCTTTAAGTTTATTAGATGATGTCAAAATCTTAAAGCCGAATGTATTATCGTTGGTTCCAAGAGTCTACACGAAATTAGAAGCTGCAATTAAAGCACAGACTACCCACAACGATGAAAAGCCAATGTTGAAAGCAGTTTTCAGTAAAGCTATCAATAGAAAGATTGAGTTACAAAGCCAAGAAGATGGCGTCGTAGGTAGCCACCTTTTTTATGATAGAGTATTATCTTTACTTCGTAAAAAATTAGGTTTTGATAACCTAGAATTATTTACAACTGGTTCTGCCCCAATCTCGTCTGAAACAGTCAAGTTCGTGAAGGCCGCATTTAATACAGGTTTAGTTCAAGGTTACGGATCCACAGAATCATACGCTGGTATAGCCGGTTCATTAAGATATGAAGCCAGCCCTGGCTCGTGTGGTGCGATTGGTATTACGACTGAAATGAAGTTGAGGGATATTCCAGAAATGAACTATTTTTCTAGTGACAAGGAAGGCCCAAGGGGTGAATTATTGATTAGGGGTCCACAAATTTTTAAAGAATATTTTAAAGATGAGGAGGAAACCAAAAAGTCCAAGGATGAAGAAGGATGGTTTTATACCGGAGATATTGCTAGGATCGATGCTAACAATGGAAGATTATATATCATTGATAGAGTTAAGAATTTCTTCAAATTGGCTCAAGGTGAATATATCACACCCGAAAAGATTGAAAATAACTATCTTTCCTCATTTCCATTAGTTCAGCAATTGTATGTACATGGTGATTCCTTGCAAACATTCCTTCTTGCGGTTGTTGGTGTCGAAGCTGATTCTATTAAAAAATGGTTGGAAACTAAGTGCAATATCAACCAAAGTGAATTATCGTCGAATGATGCCATTGTTAAATGCATTAATAAGAAGGAAAATAGGGCTAAATTCTTGGGTGAAATGAATAAATCAACTGGAAACTCTTTACAAGGGTTTGAGAAAGTTCATAATGTCTACATCGATATTGAACCTTTAACTATTGAAACGAATGTTCTTACTCCAACGTTGAAGATCAGAAGACCGATTGCCTCTAAATTTTTTAGAAGCGAATTTGATAGATTATATGACGAAGGATCTTTGGTTCATAATAACTCTTCGAAGTTTTAGTTTCTATTTATTTCTATTTATTAGAGTAATAGACTATTTTCTTACATCCTTCTTTTCATTGTATTATCTAACAGTTTCTACATTAGGATGATAAGTAATTAAGTATATTAATTCTACATTCAAAATAAATATCTATGTATACCTAAATATACTTATAAGGATTCATAATACCGTTTGGATCATAGTGTTTTTTCAAATCTTTCATTAATCTAATTTCAATATCATTCTTAGAATAACCAATATAATTTTTCTTTTGAAAGCCTAAACCGTGTTCAGCTGAAATTGAACCATTTTTAGATTGGATCCATTCGTATACAAATGGTTCTAAAACATTCTCGATTTCTTTAGAATACTCTCTAACAGCAACATTCAAATGCAAGTTACCATCACCGATATGACCATAACCAATAGCTTCAACAACAGGCTTGGAACCATCGTCAATGTCAACTAAGTTAGCTTCCTTTAATTTGGCACTTGCAGCATCAACTAACCCGTATAAATCAGATAATGGTAATGAAACATCATATTTATAAACACCACCTCCAATTGTAGAGGCCTCAGGAATGGATTCCCTCCATGACCATAAGCTTTGTAATTGTGTCTCATCTTGGGCAATAATACCGTCATCAACTAATCCATCTTCCATTGCTCTCTCTAAGAAACCTTCTAACTTTTCATCGTCATGTTCTTTACTTGAGCCACTAGTTTCAATCAAAACGTAGAATGGATATTCACCACTTTCAATAGGATGATCAGCGTTTAAATGACGAGCAGTTAATAACTGAGATTTACCATCCATGAATTCAAAAGCTGATAAAATTTCAGATAATTCACGGCGAGCACCGACAAAAACCTTTTGAACGGCCTCATACGAGGAAACGGCTAAAAATGCAACATTGACTACTTGTGGTCTGGATGGACATAAAATAGAAACCCCCGTAATAACACCTAAAGTACCTTCGGAACCAATAAATAATTGCTTTAAATCATACCCAGTATTATCTTTTCTCAACGAATTCATAGAGTTGTAAATAGTTCCATCAGGTAAAACTGCTTCCAATCCTAAGACACTACCATGTAAGGAACCATACTTCAACAATCTTAAACCACCTGCGTTAGTTGCTACGTTACCACCGACATGACATGAACCTTTGGCACCCAAATCTAATGGGAATATATAGCCTTCTTCTGCCAACGCATTGTCTGCATTTTCTAAAATCAAACCAGCATCACACTTTAAAATACCACTAACTGAATCAAATGATCTAATCTTATTCATACCAGCCAAAGATATGATAATCTCATCAAAAATCGGAATAGATCCCCCTACTAAACCAGTATTACCACCCTGTGGCACAACTGCCAATTTTTGTTCATTACAGTATTTGACTATTTGGGAAATTTGTTCCGTGGTCTTAGGTCTCAATACCAACTTCGATTGACCTTTATATTTTCTCATCCAATCCTCGTTGTAGAATTCTATGTCTTCTTCACCAGTAATAACTCCATGAGGATCTTGTAAGACCGAATGAAAGAACTCTATATCAGAGTCTTCTAATTGCTTAAACCTATCGTCACGTTTGACCTTATCACTGTAAGTTTCAGCTGTTAAAGGAACCGTCTTGGTAGAGTAAGCACTGACTCGTATATTGAGTTTTGACGGATTCTTGAATAATCTTGGGACTTGCGTACGAGCTGGTACGCCAGCAAATATGCCTCTGGCACAAAGTAATCCTCTTCTGGCTCCAATCATCTTGTGAATTCGTTTACAAAGTAAAGGCTTGATATAAAGATCAAATATAAAGATTAGATAGTAGTAATAATCTTGGATAGTGAAAAAAAATTGGCCAGAGTCACATGATAACGCTATTAATTTTCACCTTAATTAAGTCTATATGATTGAATACTACTAAGAAGAATTATATTACCTATAAAATATTACTCTTGCGTAGACTATCTAAACTTGCATTGATTATGTGTCTGAATCGCAGAGGTCCAAGTGGACTGCCACCGTACCAGCGAGTGACAATCACCAATATATTCATCAAATTATGGTTTACCAAGACCTGTTGTAGCAATTTTGACCCGGCACCCTTTTCGCCATTATCTTTAAAGCCCTGATTAATATTATGGTATTTGATTTCTTGTTCTCTTTCCTTCTCCATCGAAGGATCTTTCTTTCTCTTGGATTTGGTGTGCACTGATGTGGCTGGGGAATCGGTAACCTGGCCCGTTCGCCATGCTATTATATATGGATGACTCGATCTGGAAATATTTTTGTGGTCTTCTAAGAGACGTTCCAATATGGCAGGTATATCCAGTTCGTCCGTAATTGGGACATGTCTTGCTTGGAACTTGGATTTTCTGTCAGTGATGACTTCCGAGGCATGCCATTCGGTAATGTTACTTCGACATCGGGCGGAAATAAAATCTAATGAAATACGTTTCACCAGCTTACGACAGACTGTTCCTGTACTAACACTATTAACGTAGATCATGGTCTAGCATGGAGTATGTCCTTTTCTAGTGCCATACCAGAGATGTTATATAATGTCGTTGGTTATGGAATGTCGTGAAACGACATTGTTGCAAGTTGAAATGTACAATATGGCTAACCACAAATATAACTCTAAAACACGATCATAAATCAGCATCGAGTTCTAATTCATTCATATTGATATGGGTTAGAATGTAGAGATAAGGATTGAAACAATGCAAAAATAAGTGTAATGGATTTTGCAACATTGATCTTGGGCTGGTGGACCGTAATAGTGTAGTATAACTGCTGTGTTTCAAGTTCAAGAAAAACAATTACTCTCCTTATGAAGCTACAGTAGTCTCTCTGTGATCCCCAATTATAACCACTACATACGGTATTGAAATCTTTCTAGAAATCTATAATGGAACCTTAACCTGTAAAAATGCCAGTTTTGATGGTTTGCAGGTTATTTACCTAGACGTGTTTTTTTTTGCACGACGTTCGAAATATCAATAGATCGAATAAACAACATTCCTTTAATTAAACGTTGACTTACATCTATTATCATAATGTCGGGATACAGCTACTCACAGGATCCAAACGCTTCGTCGTCGGCTTTGCGTAAGAGAAAAACTCTCAAGAAATCAATCAACTTTTCAGTAATGATAGTTGGAGAGAGTGGATCAGGACGTTCAACATTAATAAATACGCTTTGTGGAGGTAATTCGATTGTACCATGTTCACTGACGGTTAATCAGCATCCGTTCACTAAGAAGTTAACATTGAGACATGAAAACGTCGAATTGGAGGATAATGAGGGTCACAAAATTTCGTTAAACATTATTGACACTCCAAACTTCGCCAACCTGATTAACTGTGACGAAGACTTCAAATTGATTGTTGACTTTATAAGACATCAATACGATGAGGTGTTATTGGAAGAGTCTCGTGTTAGACGTAATCCTCGTTTTAAGGATGGGCGTATTCATGTGTTAATCTACATGATCAATCCAACGGGCCATGGGTTATCGGAAATCGACGTCAAGTTTATGTTACATGTCAATAAGCTTGTTAATATTATCCCAGTAATCGCCAAGGCTGATTCGTTAACTCCAAGGGAATTACAATTGAATAAGCAGTATATTTTAGAAGATTTGACCAATTATGGTATCAATTTTTACAGATTTAATGAATATGAATACGAGGAAGACTATATTGATGACGAAATTATCGAGTATAATAAGTACTTGAATTCATTAATCCCATTTTCAATTATTGGTGCGAATACATATCAAGAGAACCAGGATGACGAAGGTGAAGATTTACTTAAATTGAGAGTCTTAGATCCATCGTACTTGAAGCCAATTAACGTGGAAATGCCTGAGTGTAATGATTTCACAATATTAAAGAACGTGTTATTAATCACCCATTTGAATGAATTCAAAGAAAGGACTCATGATTCTATATATGAAGACTATAGAACTGAAGCTTTATCAGGTAAGCAATTTCAATACATCAACAAGGATAATGCTTCAACCCATGAAAACGGTGACTCGGAGTCGTTTGGTTCTAAAGTGCAATCACCAAGAACAGATTCGCCATATACGGAGAATGGACGTAATGAAAACAACGAAGAGTCTAATTATTTGATGAAGGAAGAACAAATTAAACTTGAAGAAGAAAGGTTGAGAAAGTTTGAAGAAAGAGTTCATCAAGATTTGATTAATAAGAGAAAGGAATTATTAGAACGTGAAAATGAATTAAAAGAAATTGAAAAAAGATTACTAGCTGAAGGCTTGAAATTTAATGAAGAAGGTGAAGTTGTTAAAATCGAGGAATAGATCATCTAGTATAAAGGAGGAATTTGACTTTTGACTTCGGAGCCTGTCAAGTAGAATTTATAGCAGATCATTTTTTCTATTGTTTCTAAATTACAGTTTATAGAAATAAGGGACGGTTTTAAAGTTATTATGTTGTGTATATCGTAAAAAATACATATCGCAAATATATATATTTAAACAGCAGCTTTATACTTTTCAACGATTTCGTCGAATTTAGAGTTCTTTTCGTTTACATCTTTCACAAGTTGATGTTCTTCATTAGACTTCGATAATTCTTTTAATAATTCCTCAACATTTTCACCATTATTAAGTAAATAATCCATGGTAATTTGGTTAGCGAGAAAGTCACCATCAGTCTTGCCTTCTAATGTCTTCATTTGAGCTAATAATTCTTGTGCTTCAGGATAATGCTTCAATTGTAAAGTTAAGACAAACAAAACATTTAAGATCTTAAATCTACCTTGAGAATCGTCGTCAAAGTCTACCGATAATAATTCATCATAAAAGTAGTATGAGTTACTTATATTATCAGATTCACCTTTAACGGATAATAACCAGGATTCCAATACTTGATAAATTATACTATCTCTTGCCGAGTCTGGAAAGTTCTTGAAATTGAGCATGATTTTATTAGCAGCATTGAAATTGCCCTTAATCAAGTACAACTGCACCAAAATTAAGAACGATTCTAACTCTTCAGGGTTCAAGTTGCCCGAATCGATATAATTGGTCAATAAAACGATAGCTTGATCAATATCTTTCTTGAAGTTCACCAAGTATATAGCTGTCAAGACCGCTTGCAATTCAAACTCGGCTTGAGTAATATCTTCAAAATATGTCGAATCATCGGTTCCGAACGATTTCAAATCATTCCAGGCACTTAATAATAAGAAAAGCTGTTCATTATCTGGGAATGAGCTCTTTCCATTATCAATTAGATTAGATGCATCTTTTTGTAATGCAATTGTAGATCTGACTTGATATTCTAATACTCTCAATTGACCTTCAGGAGAAAACTGATCCAAGTCATATGATATAACCTTTTGGTGTTGGTTAGTAAAAAATTGGTTTCTTATGGTATATAATTCACCCGAGTCGCCAAATGAGTCCATTTTGTTAAGTGTGTAAGGTATAAGAGTTTGTTCTATTGTATACGTTTATTTAGTGAACTTGATTCCAGCGTGTTTTTAATACTTCTATCAATTTTGTGTAATTTTCACTCTGACCCTATATTATAGAACTAAGTACATAAGACTATGAAACTATTGTATATACAGATATAAAGACGTACTTATGGCTTACGAGATTGTTGTCTAATTGCATCCCAAGCAGTAGCAGGTTTTGTCTGTTCTTGTTCGTAGTTGGTATTGTCATTGGCTGAATCTGTAGGTAAACCGGATGGTAATGATTCTTGACCATTCCCTGGAGCGTTTGAAGCCTGGCTAGGAGTAAAGCCGTTAGCAATACGGATTTGGTCCCAATGGGACATTGCCCCTTTTTGAGAATCGTCCTCGCGGCCAATTCCTAATGCTCTCGTAAAATGACGATCCTTTGATGGAGGATCGTAGCGAACTTCATGCAACGACTGCTCAGTGAAGGTTCTAGGATCCTTAACAGCGAATGATGGATTTTCAGCTGTTTTCCTGTAATAGAGGAAAAACAAGCTAGCTTGATGGTAATCCATTGCTTTCCAAGTTTCTAATTGATTTTTCTTACTTGATTCGGCTTCCAATGAGTCTATTTTCTTGGAGAATTGATACTTTGCCACCTGTTGGTTAGTCACAAGCAATGCTGTTAATCCAATTAAGAACGAAAGGAATGGTTTGTGAATAAGTGGCCTTATCTTATTTGTAGGTGCACTTGGCACCGAAGGATGTTGAAATCTATTGATGATTGTAGGCAAGAAAAAGTTACCCATAGCCGACCCATAACCAATGAATGCAGTTTTGTACATGATTGACTGTAAATCACTAGCTACTTCTCCCCTATCTTCCGGATTCAACTTTTTATCAGCTTCATAGAACCGAATACTAGCGTCGAATTGCTGTGGAGTTAATTTTTGTAATAATGGATTATCATGCTGATTCGTTGGTACAGAAACAGTACCATTGTTTTGAGGATTTCCGTCTGTCATCTTCGATTGATATATATGTAAATGTGTAGAGTAAATGATATTATAGAAGAGATCGAATGTCCTTTAAGAAATATCTCTATGCGCACAAATGAGTACAGAAGAAATTCGTCCTGAATAAGCAATGAACGAAATGTAATTTAAATGATAGTGTATATATAGGAAATTGTATAATATAAATGTTAAAAACAATGTATAAACATGCTGTATTTAAATTAATTTATTGTCTTGTCTCTTTTCTTCTCTTAATCTGATTAATTGTTGAACAACATCATCGAATTTAACCATGTCATTCTTGCCTTGTTCCTCTTGGATATCTCTATTTCTAACATTGACACCTTGCTGTTCTTGTTCTTGTTCACCGACAATGAAGATGAAGTTATACTTGTAGATTTGACCGGTTCTAACTTTCTTTTGTAAAGTATTACCAGAAACATCCACATCAGCGTAGAAACCGTACTCCTTGTTTAATCTATTTTGAAGCGATTGTGCGTATTCAAAGTACTTGACACCAACTGGAACAACAAGGATTTGTCTTGGTGATAACCAGAATGGCCATTTACCCTTGTAATGTTCGGTTAAGATGGCGGTCATTCTTTCAACGGAACCCAAGATGGCTCTGTGAATCATGACTGGTCTACCAATAGTGTTTGACTTGTCATTAGTTTCAGCCTTATATTCTAATTCGAAACGACTTGGCAATTGGAAATCCAATTGGATAGTGGCACATTGGAACCATCTCTTCAATGCATCACTGATCATGATATCAATCTTTGGACCATAGAAAGCACCATCACCTGGGTTTAATTCCCATTTACCCTTACCCAAGAAAGTATTCAAGGCATTTTCTAAGTTAGCTTCAGCGTTATTCCAGGTTTCGATGTCACCAACGTATTTTTCTGGTCTAGTAGACAATTCCATCTTGAACTCAAAGCCGAAAACACCGTATATTTTTTGCAAGAAATCAAAGACGCCTCCGATTTCAGATTCAATTTGTTCTTGGGTACAGAAAATGTGAGCATCATCTTGTTGGAAACGACGAACTCTGGTCAAACCAGACAAGGCACCGGAAAATTCATTTCTGTGGATAACACCGAAATCAGCAACACGCCACGGCAATTCACGGTATGATCTTTCACGAGACTTGAACATCAAACAATGACCAGGACAATTCATTGGTTTCAAACCGTATGTTTCCTTTTCAACTTCAAAGGAGAACATATTTTCCTTATAGTTACCCCAGTGTCCAGAAGTCTCCCATAATTTCGAGTTGTACATATTAGGAGTAATAACTTCGTCGTATCCTCTTTGTCTATATTCCTTTCTCATTAAATCAGTCAAGGTGTTGTAAATTCTGGTACCATGTGGTAACCAGAAAGCAGAACCTGGAGATAATTCATTGAAGGTAAATAATTCTTGTTCCTTACCGATTCTTCTGTGATCTCTTTCTGAGGCTTCTTTCAAGAATTTCAAATGTTCATCCATTAATTTCTTATCTGGGAACGAGATACCGTAAACTCTTTGTAAAGAGTCATTGGCAGCGTCACCTAAGAAATACGAAGAGGAATTCTTCAAGACTTTGAAAGCCTTGATTTTACCGGTATGAGGAATATGAGGTCCAACACACAAATCGATTAATGGACCACATCTGTAAACAGTGGTAGATGTTCCATCAGGAATCTTATCGCTAATAAATTGGACCTTGTATTTATTGTAGCTGAACATCTTTAACAAATCTTCCTTGGTCATTTCTAATCTAACGAACTTTTGCTTTTCCTTGATAGCCTTGGTAGAAACCTTTTCTAAGTTACCGAAATCAGCTTGGGTAACCGCACCTTCACCATTGTTGATGGACATATCATAGAAGAAACCGTCATCAGTAGGAGGACCGTGAGACAAATGGCAACCATAGTGACATTCACAAGATTCACCCAAAACGTGCGCAGAAGAGTGCCAGAAAACAGCCTTACCTTCTGGATGTTCAAAATCTAAGAAATCTAACTTGACGTCACCTTCTAATGGTCTTTCCAAATCCCATAATTGTTCACCGTTAACCTTGGAAATAACTTGTCTTTCAGCAAACGATTTACCAATCAGAGTAGCAATATCCATTGGTGAGGTCTCATATGAAGTACCTTCTTTCACACTACCATCTTTCAAAGTGATTTGAATTGGCTTACGTTCCTTGCTAGCAACTTCAGCATCATATTTGGTCTTCAATTCATCGAAAAGCTTCACACGCGAATCAATAAACGCTGGTTGTGGTTCCAAGTACAAAGATCCTGGACCCTTACCACCTGCTTCTGCGGCCTTTCTTTCCTTTCTGGAAGGCTTTTGTGGGGCCTTTTTTGGTTCCCCATCCTTAACAGACAAGTCTTCGACTTTCTTTTCAACTGCGTCAACAGCGGACATCTTTAATTCAAGTTATCTTTAGACTAATCGATAAATAACACCAATTTTTTTCATTTTCCATATTACTCACGAAAAAATTCACAAACTTAGTGACAAATTATACGCGTTATATTCTGACAGTTACGCTCGTTTATGAATATATGGGAAGACTAAGAAGAACTAGTCTTGGTTAAAGAAACATCTGTGATGCTAACTCCTCCGTCAACAACAAATGACCAACAGAATGAAAATGAGCAAGCAATTATGAGTCAAATTGATGAGTTGAAGCACTTATTTCTGGATCATAAACGGATCATAGACGACAAATCAAGTAACCTTGAATCGATATCTGAAGGTATAAACGAAGTGCAAGGAAAGAGCGATATTAACGGAATAATTGAGGACATTAGAATAGATCTAAATGACTTGCTTAATACTTTTCAGGGAAAACTTGATACTACATATTCGGAGCAAAGACAAGTAGAGGAACGAGAGAATAGTCTTCTAGATACATTCGAGTCATTAACAGCAATAGAAAACGAACATAGAACTGAGACACCGCATGAAGCAGTATCTCAACTACAGGGTTACTTGCATTCAAATGGACACAATTTAGGCATCTTGAGCCACTGCTTCAATGACATTTTGGACTCGGCCAACGGGTTGATGTCGAGCATACCGATGAACAAGACCAACATCACACACATGAACGAACTAATCTCTCTGATAGAAGGCTGTATAGGGTCATTTTGCACATAATAAATACACAATTTTCCTGATAAATGTCACTAATATTTTATTGTGGTATATATACATGAACTAAAAGTAGAAAACATCGCTTCTCTAAAAGGTTTTTGGGGCTAATGACACAATCTTATTATATTGCAATTCTCTCAATTCTTTGGCAACGACAGAAGAAACTCTGGTTCCTAATGGATCACCATTTTTGTTAATCAAGACACAGGCATTATCATCGAATCTCACAGTAGAACCATCCGGTCTGATGAATGGTGATTTTGTTCTAACAACTATAGCACGACATATGTCTCTTCTTTTCACTCTGTTATTTGCAGATTGACCTGTTATTTCTTTGTTCATCGATCTGGCTTGCTTAACGACTACTGTTATTTCATCACCAACTTTAGCGAAATTTCTAGGTCCATGACGTAAAACTTTAATGCATTCAGCCACCTGAGCTCCCGAGTTGTCTATAACGTTTAATAATGTCTTCAAATATATCATGTCTTGTTTCCAGGCTACTGTTATAATCTGTCCATACTAGAGCCTGAAAATTTTATAATCGGCTTTGAGCAGAATAAATTAATGTTACACAAAAATGCGCGAGTCAATAGAATTAATTTTATTACTACGATTTAAATATATAAAATCAATAATAAACAGAAACATGTAGAATATGAAATGCGCCTAGCCTCGAACCACCTTCAATCGAGCCATCTTCTCTTTTTGGCGGCTGATGTTAAAGAGGCTGACGCAGTAATTCTTTCACTGGCAGGATAGGCGGTGTTAGGATAAGGAGCTACGGTGGCACCATTAGGTTTTGAGGCTGCAGTGTAATCCCAACTAGGAGTAAGAGTAGTCATCACATTAGGTGACTTCTTGTAAGTAGAATAAGCAGAGTAGGAACTCGTTGCGAATCTTCTTGACATAGATGTGTAGGTAATACTTTTTCCTGGTTGCGTTTGCATTGGCGCATACCTAGTCTTACCGGTTTGTTTAGTATATGGGACGGTATGCGAACGAGTATCAATAGGCTTATCATCACCTTGAGTGGCACCACCTGGTGCTTCACCAGTAGCTGTAAGAGACACGGTTAAAAGCATTGTAGATCCAAAGGTCTTGGATCCACCATCCATACCCTTCAACTGGAATCTGTCTGTATATAAGATAGAAATACCCAGATCATATGTGTTATACATTTGAAAGTAGTACCATCCATTTGGAAAAGCTGATGCATCAATAGAAGCGGTGTATGACTTTTTCGTCAGTCCCTTAACTTCCTCGAGTTCGGTACATTCGATATCATTGTTAGGACCCGTACAAAGGGACACCGTATATTTCTCAATATCTTTAAAGTTCAAGTCTGAGCCATCATCATCCCATTTGATATCCACTGACACTTTTCCACCACTAGCAGTAAACGCCTTGCCTGCCTTAGGCGCTGTAAATTCCATATCCGCCATAACTGCAACCGCAGATATTAATACACTTATCAAAAAGATAAGTTGGTTTTGCATATTGAATATTTCTATTTCTTCTTGATATATTAATTTTTACTTGCAAATTCGTATTCAATACTTCTATATATCGACCAGATCACAATCAACTTTAAATTCAATAAACGATTGCTTGTATATCAACTGGAGCTTATACGTCAAATTTTGTATGTCACGTAAGTTTAATAAACCGGAATATGACTTTAAAGCTATTTTTGATGTCTAATAAGCCTAAATCTATGAATAACAACAAAAATACCAGTTATTTGCTAAGAAGACTTCGGTGTATGTATTGAAATTCCTTCTTCAATCGCGATAGTAAGGCAGTGCAAGGATCAAAATATTTTCGTGTCCATAGACTTCCTAATATGGAAGCATGTTAATTTTTCGCTAAAATTGTATAGTTCGCACACATTTTCAACACCTATACTTACTCGAATAAATAAACCTGGTTCTTCCTATTTTTCAATTGATATTCTTGTTCACTATATCAACTGTCTGTACTAGGCCTGAAGTCAGAGAAGTTGCGCCAATCGCTCTTCGCAGAACCAATCGTAGAGGTAGTCCCTTCATTCGCAGCCAGTGATATTGTACATTAGGTTGCGAAATATAGAATGTAATCCCAACTTGTGACAAAGCTAATCATCAGCATTTTGCAGAAGAATTTGAAATGCATCTAACCCTGAGCCATCCTTAGTCGAGCCATCTTTTCTTTTTAGCGGCTGATGTTAAAGAGGCTGACGCAGTAATTCTTTCACTGGCAGGATAGGCGGTGTCAGGATAAGGAGCTACGGTGGCACCATTAGGTTTTGAGGCTGGAGTGTAATCCCAACCAGGAGTAAGAGTAGTCATCACATTAGGTGACTTCTTGTAAGTAGAATAAGCAGAGTATGAACTCGTTGGGAACCTTCTTGACATAGATTTATAGGTGATACTCTTTCCCGGCTGCGTTTGCATGGGAGCAAATCTTGTCTTACCGGTTTGTTTTGTATACGTGACGGAAAAAGAACGAGAATCCACACTCGTATCACCTCCTTGAGTGGCAGCAGCTGGTGCATCACCAGTAGCTGTAAGAGACACGGTTAAAAGCATTGTAGATCCAAAGGTCTTGGATCCACCATCCATGCCTTTCAACTGGAATCTATCCGTATATAAGATAGACGTTCCCAGATCGTATGTATTATACAATTGAAAATAGTACCATCCATTTGGAAAAGCTGATGCATCAATAGAAGCGGTGTATGACTTTTTCGTCAGGTCTGTTACTTGCTCGATAGTGGTACACTCGATGTCATCATTTGGACCCGTACAAAGGGACACGATATACTTCTCAATATCTTTAAAGTTCAAGTCTGAACCATCGTCATCCCATTTGATATCCACTGACACTTTTCCACCACTAGCAGTAAACGTCTTGCCTGCCTTAGGCGCTGTGAATTCCATATCCGCCATAACTGCAACCGCAGATATTAATACGCTTATCAAAAAGAAAAGTTGGTTTTGCATCTTGAATATTACTATTTCTTCTTGGTATATTTAGTTTCAAATTCGTATATCACAGTAAACTTTGAATTCAATAAACGATTGCTTGAATATCAACTGGAAATTATACGTCTAAATTAGTACGAAAAGTATAACCTAATGCTATTTTTGAAGTTGGATAAGCTTAAATAGTACGTTTAACCTCCAAATTCCAAATTTTGTGAAGAATACTTCTTTTATGTATTGAAATTCTCCAATCGCGATAGTAAGGCAGTGCAATTAAGGCAGTGCAATAATAGTAAGACAGTACAATAGTTAGGCGGTGCAAAAGTTGATTCGCACCCACCTCCAGGAACACTACTAAAAAAATAACCTCGCTTTATTGTCCCGTCGTGAGATTCTATTGTTCCTGTGCAAGGCTTAAGTTAGTACGCTCGATCAGGAGTCAAATCTGGAGTCTGACCCGGAATCTGACATAAAGTTTGACCAACTGTTCCACGAAAAGCAATTTGTAGTGGGTGGCTTGCAGCAGTTCCTTCACTCGCAGCTTGATGTTGTACGTCGGCTTCTGATGGTCTTTGAGTATTACTGATGGTCTTTCTATTCAAAAACAAGAAAGGTTATTGTCTCATAGACCGGGTATAGTCGTGGCAACCCCTGGAAGATTCTTAGAATTACTACAATAGGATATGGCGTAATTCCAACGATTATCATGTACTGATATAATTGTGTTAGATGAAACTAGTAGGTTATTACAAGATGGTCATTTGATGAATTTGTAAAAATATTAGAGCTATTTGGAGAACACAGACCTAGGGATAATAAAGAACTAGAATGAAAATGGCAGACATTACTTTTTAATCTAATCCGAACTTATCATCATGCTTAGTATAGTAGAATAGAATTTCGTGTTGGTCATTTCATTACCATATTTCCTACCAACGCCGCTGAGCTACATTGATTGATATTAATAGATAAATTTTAAATTGCACAAGTAGTCTATCTAATAAATAATTAAGTCATAACAGTCATAATAATAGTCATAATGGTCATAATAGTCATAAATCTTGCTAGTGTACAGGCCTGTTCTCACCTGTCAAATTTCGGATACGTGCGAATTTCACACCCGACCCGCGAAGTAAATTGCAGCCACTCATTCCGAAGCACTACCGAACATCATGAGTCAATTGAATCTTACTTTTCTAGTATCGATCAGAGAACGATGTCTTGGATTATGTGTATACAGCCTTTGCTGAAATTGGGATACATCAACCGTTAAAGTGTATGGCAGAATCTCTTGTTCCAGACAAGGCGACGGTGGGCCCGAATCGTAGCTGGCGACGGAATAATGTCTGGTACCATTACTGTTGCTAGGAGATAAACTTCCATTCGACTTCGGTACGCTTGCACCTCTTAATGCTTGCAGCGATGACATAGTTTTGGCCTGGCTTCTATTTACAACTCTCACCGAATTATTTCTAGACTTCCTTTTCGACTTATTTTTATTGGCCGGCTCAACTTCCAGTTCTATACTACGACTTCTATCTCGTTGGTTCGTCCTTCCGCACATTACTTGTTCCTCATTGGTAGTTCCGTGTCCATTCTTAACTGGCGACGTCTTTACACGTTTCAGCGTATATATGGGGATTAATTTCATGAATCCTGCTTGAATATCACCTAAAGTATTATTAGATCTCAATAACATCCTGTCAAACCTATTTTTCATATTCAGTTATCATGAATGGCACATATAAGGCAAATGACGACCTATATATATATATATAATTGTGATTAGTTATAGATGCGGGCTTTAGGGTGATAGGCGGAATTAAAAAATTTAATGTCCGCTTCCAGATGAGCGCTTTCGGATGAAAATCAAATTAGTCTCATGCCGAACACTCAAATTCAATCAATCCGCTTTATGCCCGATCCGTAAAAGTATGACGAATAGTTACAATACATCGCAGGCATCGTAGATATTCGGATCAAAAGTTACTATATATCGTAGCATTCCGTCTTTACCCTTCGCTGTCTTTTTTTCTAGGTCACTCCGATAGGATACGAAAAATGACCAGAACCTGTAGAATTTACAATGGACAGATTATACTACCATCTCCGTGTAACAAATGTAGTATTCGTTGATTCTTACCATGCTCTTCGAAAAGCTCCAAAATTCTTGGGAGATCAAATTGCCTTGACAGAGTAACGGCAAAATAATGCGCACAAATCGTATATGTTGATTAACGCAGACGGTCTAGTAGCATAATTAACATTTCAAACTTTTGCATTGTAATATTAGTAAAGTTATTGTTTTGCACCCTTAGGGTAACGTAACGAAAACAAAAACCAATGTGTCAAGTGGCATTAAGAATCAGTATTATACGGTATCGTGCAAAAACAGACAATGAAGCTTTCACAGCAATGTGAGAGAACGTGAAAGATTGATTGAGAAAGAATTAAAGAATTCCATCGGATTATAATTTAAATTCTTCGTTTATCTATTGTATCCCGTTCTTATACCATTACCATTTTGTGTAGTAAATATCCATAGTGATTCTTACGTTGGGCTAGTATTATACACATGCCTTAGATATTTCAATGATGAAATTTTACCAATTTTTGCGAAATATTCACCATATTACGGTAGCTGCAGCTTAATTGCAAAATTATAATATCACTTAGCTAAGAAGAAACTTCTTGAACGAGAAAGCCGCTATAACCTACTAAACCGTATTATAACTGAAGGTTATCCGTTTATATCTTGGTGAACGGCTAGAAGTTCAACGTCTATAGTGCCCCATCTTTTACCTAATTAGGCGATACCGCGCGGACCAAAAGAGAATAACTATATATTTCAGTAATTACCATCAATCCCATTAGTTTCCATAATAAATCATCAAAACATGTCTAAACCAACATTGAATAACCCAGACTTAATCAGAACCAAACCTTACGTTAATGGTGAATGGTTCGAATCAAAATCGACCAAAACTTTTAAGGTGATCGATCCAGCAACAGAAACAGAGATTGTCGAATTGCCCGATCAAACACCAGAAGAGATTGCGTTTGCCATTGAAAAAGCCGAGGAAGCTTTCAAGACATTCAAAAAGACAAATGCATATGACAGAGCTAGATGGATGAGAAAGTTGAACGATCTCATGTTGGAAAACATCGAAGATTTAGCGAAAATCTTGACCTGGGAAAATGGTAAATGCTTAACAGATGCTACAGGAGAAATTAAGTATGCAGCTTCATATTTCGAATGGTTTGCCGAAGAGGCCAAGCGTATCTATGGTAATACTATCCAGCCCTCTAATAACAACAACAAAGTGATTACTTACAAACAACCAATCGGTGTAGTTGGATTGTTATGTCCATTCAATTTCCCCACAGCTATGGGAGCAAGAAAATTGGCACCCTCTTTTGCTGCTGGATGTACGACTATTTTGAAGCCAGACGGTCAGACTCCGCTTTCATCATTGGCATTGGCTTACTTGGCTGAAAAAGCCGGATTTCCAAAGGGTACCTTTAACGTTGTGTTAGCATCGACCGAAAATACCCCTAAAGTGGGATTGGAATTTTGCGAATCCCCTCGCATTAAAAAGATTTCGTTCACAGGTTCCACTCCAGTAGGTAAGTTGTTAATGAAACAATCCTCCTCTACGTTAAAGAAATTGTCAATGGAATTGGGAGGTAATGCACCAATTATTATTTTTGATGATGCGGATTTGGACCTCGCTGTTGAGCAATCTATTGCTTCTAAATTCAGATCATTGGGACAAACATGTGTCTGCGCCAACCGTCTCTATATTCAAAGTGGTGTATACGATAAGTTTTGCGAAAAGTTCACCGAGAAGGTAAAGGAATTTAAAATTGGTAATGGTTTGGAAAAAGGAATTACCCATGGATGTTTGATCAACGACAAAGCTATTACAAAAGTAGAAGACCACATCAAGGATGCTGTTGGGAAAGGTGCGAAAGTGTTAGTTGAAGGAGGTAGGTTACCTAACTTGGGGAAAAACTTTTATGCTCCTACTGTTGTTAAAGACGTTACACAAGAAATGATGGTGGTCAAGGAAGAAACCTTCGGCCCGTTAGCAGCTTTACTGAAATTCGACACCAAGGAACAGGTCTTAGACTGGTGTAATGATACTCCGTATGGCTTGGCTTCGTATGTATTCTCGGAAAATTTGAACACTATTTGGTTTATGTCCGAATATTTGGAATCTGGTATGGTCGCGGTGAATACTGGTCTTTTCACTGACGCAGCAATGCCATTTGGAGGTGTTAAAGAATCAGGATTTGGTAGAGAAGGTTCTTTATACGGTATTGATGATTATACCGTAGTTAAAGCAATTACTCTCGGTAATATGTATAGATAAGTGCCATAGCATGTACATTCAGAACTGGATTGACTGTATAGGAATTAATATATGCAGTGGACGTTAACTACAGAATATTAGTCAATTAACTGGCTTAACATAGTTTAAAAGTTTTGACTAAACAAAGAAGGCTCAGGAAGCTACAAAAGCCTAGTTCGACTAAGAGTTTCACTCAAATACCAAATCCGAAGGTTTGAGGGAGAGAAAGTATGCTCAAAAGGGCATGCCCTCTGTCGCTTGACTATTACAATAGTAGAATATATTTGTTCATGAATATTAATTTACAGTATAAATTCATGTCTTTGATCTATAATAAATTGTGCATTCATCTAAAAGGATTTGACTAATGCATAATAACAATTTCCATCTAACATCTCTATGCCATATCTAGCTAAAATTTTTAGTTTCTACCTCTTTTATTTAGTGTCCTTGTATAAGTTTAATAATTTTTTCGTTGCCGTCCGCTTTAAAAAAGGTTTCCAAATTATCCCAAGTTTCTTTCGCATGTTCTTTAGATCTTTCAAATAAGCTCTGTTCATACCGAACTATGCCTTGCAAATAATCCCCCTTGCTCTCTTCTATACTTTCAACAAGTTTCCAAGCATCAAATAGTGCCAAATTAGCACCATTTGCGGCAAAAGGAGTCATCAAATGTGCTGCATCGCCCACTAGTGTAATACCTTTTCGATTCAGCCAGGAAATTCCTATAGGCAACATATAAAGTGGCCGTACTATTAGTTCATCAGTACCTTCCAAAATCATTGACTTGATATCTTCATGACAATCATCGAAACAAAGTTTAATCAATTCTCGCCTTGCATTTGTCTTGTTCGACCAATCAATACCACATGTCTTCGACCACAACTCATCTTTACGCATACATGCATATATTCTAATACTATCATCTCCATTTCGTTGTCCCATGACAGCTCTATTTTCATCATACATACTACAACTTCCCTGCCCCACATAGTCTGAAAGCCAAGGCGAGGTTTTAGTAGCATTATTGCGCCAGAATTCAATGAGGGTAACTGAAGAATAATAAGGCTTAACTTCCGTTACTAAGGGCCTAACTTTAGACCAAGCACCATCTGCACCTACCACCACGTCGTATCCAGCTTCAGCTGTACCATCTGAGAAATTCAAGTTATATTTGTCACCTACAACATCTATATTTCTCAATTTCTTACTCCAATTGATATGCTTCTGATCGAACGATTCCAATAACATATTTTTTAATTTGTTTCGATCTATTTCAGGACGAGTGGAATTTTCAAAAGACTTATTATTTTGTCTTTCATCGAATAATATTGTACCATTGTATGAAACTAGCTTCATACAATCACCCTCAGGGCGAGCCCGTAATTGAAACTCTTTAACCAATTGAGCTTTCTTAATAGCAACTTGACCAGTTTCAGGATGTAGATCTAACGTACCCCCCTGATTTCTTTCGTCAGGGCCCGAATCTAGCTCGAAAATAGTAAAGGGTATTTTTTTTAGCAGTAAAAGTCTACCCAACATAAGGCCAGCCGGTCCACCGCCAACAACTGCAACATTGGGAAGTTTCATCGATTACAATGCTTTTATCGTAAGAGTAGAACGATTTTTAGTGAACAAAAATATTTCAATATTAAAAAATCATAATGCGGAAATAACGGAGTTAAATTTCAAATAGTTAAAATCCGTTCAGTGCATATCATATATCACGAACATGGAGAACCCTATCGACGTCTTCAAGCTATAGATACCAGAGCATCTTGTTCAACGATGGAATTGCTTAATGAGAGTGAATGGACCTCTGACAAGACAGCAATAATTCTTTATGTACATGCGCATGCACATTCCTAATTTGGGTGCCGCTAGTTTGCATCCATACAGTAATATAAAAGAGAGTTCTATTCGCATATATTTGGTTTTCTCATAGAAAGTATGCAATGGCATACAGAAAACTAGCAATAGTAACGCAATTGATCTCAGCTGCTTGCTGTGTAGCATTAGGGATATACGAGGAGACGTTTATGGACTCAGTATATGGGGAATTGGTTGCATCGACGGAATCGCAAAATTATAAGCAAGTATTATTAGAGACAGGTGAACTTACAAGGGATGCTAAATACGATAAGATAATAAAAGGCTCATCAATTGATTTGAGTCAGTTTGATCCGAATGATATTGGCTCATTCCAACAGGTACTTGATATATATCACCTGGCACACAAATCAAACATGGATCAACAGCATAATGATGTATATTACGAGAAAGCACATGAATCGTACAAGAAATACAGGCCTAAAGTGAAATTTCCAAATGATGATGACACGTCAGATATCTACGACGAATCCAACAACATGTTTGGAGGAATAACTACTTACGGTCATTTTAGGCATTTCAATTGCTTTGACCCCAAACTATTCGACGAAAAAATCGATATTGCTGTGGTGGGAGCACCGTTCGACACAGGAGTGTCATTCAGACCGGGGGCTCGCTTTGGACCCGATGCAATCAGACTGGCTAGTAAACGGCTAGGAGGTGTGTCTCCAGATAGAGGTCGCGGCAATCCTAACACCAACATGACGGAAATCAACCCATATGACCCTCGCAGTCACAATCTCAGCATAATCGACTGCGGAGACATTCCTATGACGCCATTTGATAATAGAATTGCCCTCAACCAGTTGTATCGCGGCCAGAGATCTATTCACAAGCATGCGAGCAGAAACAAGCCCAAGATCATCACCATGGGAGGTGACCATACGGTGACACTTATGGCCTTGAAGTCGGCTTACGAGCACCACGGACCGCTTTCTGTGCTTCATTTCGATTCGCACATCGACACTTGGCACCCCAAGAAGCTCGGAGGTGGTATAACTAACTATATGTCTCTCAACCACGGCACATTCCTCCATTATGCTGCCGAACAGGGCTATTTGAATAAAGGCTCGTGCTACCACTTGGGAATGCGCGCACCCTACAACGACTACCAGTACGATTCGCACCATGACAAACACTATTGTGGTTTCAACACCATCACCGCCCGTGACCTCGACAACTTGGGCAGAGCCCATATTGTCGAATCCATCAAGAAGGCCGTTGGCTCATCCCCTGTGTATGTCTCGGTGGATATCGATGTATTGGATCCTGCCACGGCTCCGGGTACCGGTACCGTTGAAGTCGGAGGATGGACCGCACGTGAACTCTTATCTGTATTGGACGGGTTAGAAGGCCTCAATGTAGTGGGTGGTGACGTGGTCGAGGTGAGTCCTCCCTACGATACCAACTCAGGCATCACTGCTCTTGCAGCCACCGGGGTGATAGACTCTCTAATGGGACTTATGATGGTGAAAACGTTACCCGCACACCTTTCCTAAACGTTTTTTCCCGATGCGACTAACGGTTGCACCGATTGCCTTATACGGATGTTTACCTCTAAACTTTGTCAGTAAATATATAAATAGGTATATACCGTCAATATCAACGTCACTATACCGTTACACTAGTTTCCATCCCAGAATGTGCATGGTAAACCCAAATTCGCGTGAACGCTACCAGTCAACCAGAATTCTGACCACCATTCTGGCCGCCAGACCAACCAGTCGGCCATCGGCACAGAACCAACCACTCATTGCACGAGAACTAGTTCCAATCACACGCTCCCAGCCGTCCCACAAGACAACTCCCCCACGACATCCACGACATTGTCCTGTGCCAAACCCAGAACATCGCTCAGGCGAGTCTCGCGTCGGTCCAGACCCGTCGCGGCCTGGACCGTCGCGCATTCACGCTATTGACGTGAATGCAGAGCCTCCAACCGCCTTCCATGCGTCTTTCTACCACTCCCCCAATACCATTAATGAAAACCTCGTATATGATGCAAATAGTATAGACGACAAAAGCAGTCAAGATGGAAGCAAATCTGCCAGCCAACACCTACACCTACCATTTCCTGTCACGTCCATCAAGACCTATAAATCCCCCAAACCTAACGGATGTGTAGCACGAGCCAGACCTATTCTAACTGTCGCACTCGTTATTCTTTGCATGTACTACTATTACCCACTCGCATTATCGTGGCCTAATATAATTTATGCTAGGTATAATATATCCCACTCGGGATAATAGCAATATCCATTACATTACAATATACATCCACATAAACAAAAGACTCCCACAATACGCTACCACCATTAGTGCAACGTATCTAGACGTTCGTTGCACATTAGATGCACCAACTATTGTTCGGTACGAACAACTTTCATTCATCTGCTATTGACACAGGTGCCGATCAACAGGCCCTACATAACCGGGGATTTCATGCCAGTTCTAGACCACGCTAAAGGGATAAAGGCCAAATATGTAATTGCTTTTCGTCTCACTAGAATTTTTCTTTTGGTAGAAACACTAAAGAAAAAAAAAACGCGATTTTCAGGCTGAAGAAGTTTCAAATCAGTACAGGGAGAATTTTAATAAAACTTGATACATAGCGGGTTCAAAGGCAATATATTAGTCTTTTTTTTTAACATATCGGTCTTTCGTTAGTATAGATATATTAAACTTATCCACTCTTTTTAGTTACAGGACTTATCGGCGTGATTAAGACAGTCCCAGGTGATAAATAGTACCCCAGATTGAATATAGACTGGGCAGAGCAGAAAAGCGGCTATTATAAATTAAATTCGTGCTAGAGTTGGATATACACTCAAACAGAACGATACAAGCGCATATAAGAACGCCTGAACATACCAAAAGGCTATTAGCGTGATTGACATTGATAAAGTGTCTAGAAATACCGAAGTAAGACATACGAAATGAAATCGATAGGATTGACAGGATTGGCGGTGGTGTGTTACGCCATAGGATTAGTGTATGCGGTGGACTCGGAAGGATGTTATTCGTCGGTTCTGGTTGCAGAGAATAAGGGATCGGAACAGTATTCCACTTCATCTACTTGTTCGGAACAGTGTCTGGAATATGCGTGGTTTGCATTAAAAAACGGGGGTGAGTGCTACTGTTTGAAGCTGAAGCCTTCGGACTCCACCAGCTCGTCGAGCTGTAATGTGGGGTGTAATGGATACGGAGATGAAATGTGTGGTGGTAAAAATGTATACAGTTTGTACGAAGGTACCGGTTCCAAAGGACTGGGAGACAGCGATTCGAGCAGTCTGAGCTCGTCTTCGTCACTGTCATCATCATCATCATCATCATCATCTTCATCATCTAGCAGTTCAACCCAATCATCTACCTCGTCTTCATCCTCTTCGTCATCATCATCCACAACCACATCATCATCTTCACTGTCATCAGAAGAATCTACCACTACATCAGAATCCAGTTCATCAGAAACTGCAACACAGACTACAGTGGTGACCCAACTGTCATCACAAGGTGGTAAGGTTGTGTACAAAACCGAGACTAGGAGTCCCTCGGCTACAGCCACCCCTTCTAGTTCTTCCACAAGTACTAGTTCCAGCAAATCCAATAAGAAGGACTCAGGAACCAATGTGGGGGCCATTGTGGGAGGCGTTGTCGGAGGTGTAGGAGGTGCTATACTTCTCGGAGTATTAGCCTTCTTTTTCATCAGACATCGTAATAGTCACGAAGAATCGGAAGATGAAGAAGAGTTCTACGATAAGCCTAGCGGATTATCTAGCGCGGGAGGAACGAGCAGGTCGAGAAGCAAGAAGACTCTGTCTCCATTAGACATGCCTATGTCTAACCCATTTACTGATCCAACTGACACTGCGGCCGCAGGAGGAGGAAATAATGCAGGCCTAGTCGACCCTAGGTTAAACCCAATAATGATGGGAAGGAGAAGACTATCGGACGGTTCGTTGGCCGACGAAACTGACTATTCGAGAAAAGTTCTACAGGTGGCAAACCCTGATGATTGAACATGAAAATATAAAAAAAAAGATTTTCGGATCGAAGTAGATAAATTTAAAACAAATTACTTGCAAAATTTCTCTTTAACGACTTTCAATACTTATCCTGTACTATTTTATTGCTTTTGTCTTATTAATTTGCGTTTATAGTTTAATTTATGGTGTTTGATATAGTCGAGTTGTAGTTGATATTTTGTCATGGAACTTTTTGTGTAACGGACGATCCCGCTACTATTCGGAATGTAAAGATAATCACTATTATAATCCTTAGTACGCATTATGGTAATACAAGATAACATGATTATGCCGACTAAAACGATACCAACATATGAAAAACAGCTCCATGAAGAATTCTTAAAGATCTATAAACAGTTATCCTCGTTGAAAAACAATCGGAATATCTATATTAACTCAACACAGATTTACACAATTTATGATGAATTTTTAAGTTTACTTCATGAATTAACTTTAACTAGAAAAGATGAAGAATTGAAAGGGATCACTTTAGCTTTACCTAACGGTAACGATGTTCTAATCGATGATATTTGGCAATTGTTATCTTTATGTTTTGTAACATGTGGATTGATCAAGTTTGCTCCTGCGACATACTCTTCCCTTTCAACTGTGGGCAAATTGTTAGAGCATTTAAAGGAATGCCAAGTGTATACCATGGACGATTTGCATCCTATTCAACTGAGATTGAATGAGATTAAAGAGATCATTACTTCAAGTGAGAATAGAACGGATGATGATGACTTTGCTGAGGACGAGGAAGATGACATGATTAACAATGATGATGCGAAATTTCATAAAGCCGAAGAAAGTTTATTATTACGAAATAAGCTTAACAAATGTCAGCAGTCGCTAAACTATTTGCAGGATAAGTTTAAACAAGTTCCAGCCGATTTGGAGCCTACGTTCAATGAGCTCTTGTCGATTAGAAAGTCACTCTTGAATTACCTTACGAATGCGTCCAATGAGTCTGCTAAATTAAGTCCAGAAGAATTCAATAGTGAATTGGATAGACTAAAGGGCAAGGTGAATAATATCAAAGATAAAAGAGACGAGGATGGGAAGTTCACTAGTTCTGAAGGGACGATTGAGGAATTGGACGCAAGTCAAGGTGTTCTAAATGGATTGCTTGATGATTGCAACAATTTCATTAATGATTTATCTATTCAAAAGAATACCAATAACATTAGCGACATGTTTGAAAGTTTGAACATATCTGGCTCGTCTTCCCCAGAGACTATTAAAGTCGTAAAGGGTCTTGAAAAGTTGTATTCCCATTTGATCGACATTAAATTCAAATTAGAAAATCTTTTGATCACAAGTAGATGGACTATGAGAGGAACGGACTTGTACACGTACCAGAAGCTGTTGAAAGACATTGAGGAACAAAGACTAAAGTTGAACCAGTCTATAGGCACGTCTGATTCCTCCTCAGACATCGACACGAAAAGCATCAAGAAATTGCAGGTCCTTATTTTATACTTGTTGAGAAGATGCTACGCATTGATCTACAAATTGTTGGAAAGCTCAGAACCGGTTCTGGAGTCCTTACAACCTATTCATAATCAATTGTCGACTGTGCGTAGATGTTTGTTGGAAATCAAACGTGTTGACGGCCTCAATAATTTAAGGGATGTTTACCCGTTTCAATTTAAACTTGCCTCGCTCGATAACTTGCGAGAAGACGGAAAATTCATCATTAATGGCCAAATTCCAGAGGGCCAGGGTACTCTTAATGCGCTATTAGCTGAATGTTTCGACATCCTACATGAACTTAAAATTGAATTAGAAGAGAAAGAAGAATCTTCTGTTTCGAATAATTCATTATCAAACAGTGCAGCTAACACAAGCGACTATATAACTGATGATGACGATATTAAGTCTGATGATGAAGTTGAGTTGAAAAGAAATAGATACGTGGGGTTCAATGAGGCCGACTACGATCAAGAATCGGAGTCAGAAGATAGCTTCAACGAATCAGAATATGAAAGTAATGATTATTATTAACTGTAAATAGTTTAATGCACCTTTATGGACAATACACCTGTGTAGTTAGGTAGCTTGCTAAGAGGTATTCTTCCCCTTTGCTAGTATAGAGCAATCCGGGTAAATATAAAAAATTGCTATTTGTGTAATCACTCGCCATCAATTTCTTTTATCTGGTATAACGGTAATCGATTTGTTCCAGTCTTCTCTTATTCTTAGCATTATTAGATTGATCATATTAATCTAAAACATACCTCATCATATTTATTTCTAACTAGCGTTGCTTCATACTTTTTTCCAGAAAATTCTGAACTATTTTTTTTACATCTGCGTGGGTTTCAAATTCAAACATCAGTTTATTTTTATAAGGATTTATAACTACTAAAAAAACTACATTAATCATTCAAAATGATGTCTACAGGATTTTCATGGGGTACCCAGGCGTTATCTGAGAACACTGAAGTCAATAGCAGTTTAGGTGACTTGCCTACAAGTATTCCAAGGTACACGCCTAACCTCAAACCGGTGAACAATAACCATCATAGTAACGGGAAAAAGCGAAGATATTCTGAGGACCAGGAGTCTAAAGTGGTCAAGCCAACAGGTAATAGGAAACACTATGCCACTCCCAGCACATATTATAAGAATAAGAAATCTAGAACGCCAAAAATAATGGGTCAAAAGTTACCTATCAACAGACTTGTTGAGGCGTTAGACCATACATCATTGCAAAGGCTTCTTGAAAGTTTAATACACGAGCATCCAGAAATATCCAACACTATTGATAAGATTTCTCCAAAGCCAACTTTGACGGATTCTATTGAACTCATCAAACAAAAATTCAACAGCATCATGCATCATTTGCCTTACAAATGTGACACCGAATCAGACTATTCATATCTTCGTATAAAGACACACTTGAACGAATTCTTGAACTGCCTTTCTGATTTCATATTAAACTTTTTACCCCCGATCGAAACCAACGTGTTTAACTCGCTTAAATTTCTAGACGAAGTGACTGACTTGATACACACCTTGCCAAACTTTTCCAATAGTGAATTTCAGTACACCAAGCAGATGGCGTATGAACAGATTTCAAACACCTGGTTGATCGTATTAAATCACAAAATGCGGCCAGATGATGGCACAAACAACAATAATACATCCAATACCAACGAAGCTTTATCATCATCATCATCTCCTTCACCAGTTGCACAGTGCAACATGGAGAACTCGGCACAATTAATTAAAATTATTGACGAGTTAAACTTGCAACATAAATTAGCTAAACATGATAATATGTCCATCGGAAAATTCAAGTTAGTCGTCGAATTTGTTAATTCAGAGATTGAAAATTATGAGAACTTCAACCACACAGTAACTAACAATGGGGGCATCTTGAATGATTTGATAACCGTGGATTATTCCAACTTTTCGATTGCCGCGAGAACATCGCATTAATATAGTATATATTTGAATTAAATAGTTTATATATCGCAGCATTAATAAAATTAGATTTTGCAACTTTTATTTGTGGTGTAAACATTATTATGACAGCTTTGACTAGTATAAAGTTCGTTACATCTATCATTCATTGGATCTCGGACTTCCCTAATAGCCCAATATCAGCTAGTTCCATTCCAGTAGACTTAGCAAGCCCAAATGTTATTTATAAAACGCTAAAACTTTTATTGAATGAGAACGACTTTCAACCACAATTAGAGCTCTATGAGATACCTGAAGTGGATATTAAACAGGACGGATCTGGAAGCTTTATAAGCGTATCTGTAGACGTAAATGGGAAGATTCAGGAAATAGAGAGTGCATTGGAAAGGCATTTTAATAATAATCATGGAAAGCTAAAGAAAATTAGAGGGCTAAGACAGATATATAAAGCGATAAATTTCTACAAATTAGTTGTCTTTCAGGATATTAATTCGATTAGCAAATTCTGTGAATTAATACTTAGGATTGGAACCTATTCGTCAAAATTATCCACTTTTGGTTTAACATCAATAGAATTTCTAAGTGATCAGGACAAAGAATCAATTGATGAGTATTTTTACGGAAAGGATTTCAAAGAAATTGAAATTATTAATGATTTAGATATAGAGTTAGAAGATATCACAAATGGACAGTGCATATTAATGCAGAAGGAAGAGGAAGAAAATAAATTTACCCAAGATTACAATTCTAAAGTGGATGAAATGAGTAACACTACGACAATTGATAATTTTAGAGAAACAATCAGAACAACTGGAGATAAATATGACGACATTATCGAAAACAGAAGTGATATTTCTCGGAGAGATATAGAGCTTGTAGATTCGATTATATGGGAGAATGAGCAATTTCAAAAATTAATATATAGTTTATTAAATGTATGATTATTTAAATCTAGATAATGCAGGTCCCAATAAATCCTTTTCTTCAGGAATACCTTTGAATTCCTTATGTCTCCTTTGTCTCGCTTCTTTTTCCATCTTCAAATTCTTTTCAATACGTAATTTTCTTTGATCTATAACGTTTTGCTTCTTCTTTCTAAGATGACTTCTTAATGCTGAGTTTTTACCTTTGACTTCTGGTCTTACTGCCATCTTTTCTTGTTTATCTTGGTTTTCTTGAGATACTAACTCATTTATTTCTTGAGGTTTTAATCTCACGCTGCCAGATCTCTTATCTACTGTACCAATGACATTAGGGTCAAGCGATATAGTATCTGGGGATAACTTATTGATTAATGATCTGACTTCTTGTTGTTGTCTTTGTGTAGCAGTTTCGTATGGGTTCAATTCTAATGCATCATAATTAGCTTCACCAGAACCTGGTATTATCAATGATGACATTCCCTTTTCATGGCCGGCACCTAAAATATCTTCAAAGGGTACGAACTTAATCTTTTCGATTTTACTGCTTGGTATCAAGTGGTTCATATATGGACTGTTCTGTTTCGACTTAAAAACATCTTTCCATACAGTAACATGGGGACCCCATGACACCGATAATAATCCGGTATCTGATATATCTAATGATGATGCAGGAGTTGGTGTATAATAGCTGTCTATCTCTTTGAATTTACGTAAATCCCATATCTTTAATGTCTTATCGGCACCACTGACAGCCATATACTTACCTTCTCTATCAATTGCTACATCTCTGACAGGACCTCTAGACGATTGAATTTGAGCCAAAGGTGTCGACATATTAGGGGACCATAAAGAAACAGTACCATTACCATGTCCAAGGTGCATTACAGCATTCCATGGATTTTGCTTCATAGCTTGTGTGGGTCCGAGTTTTGTTCTTATTTCACTAACTAATTGTCCTGTAGAAACATCGTGATACTTCAAAAATCCTGTATTACCAGCACTCGCCAATAAAAAGTGGTAAGGCAAGAAGTCCAATAAGGTAGCCTCCACATGTTGCTTCAATCTATGCAATTCCGTTCCTAACTTATCGTAGATAAATGTGTACTTTTTTTGAGCCACGGCAAAGTATTGATCATTGTGCAAATACTTCACACTGTTCACAGTCTCATTCAAATGTAACTCGCAGTCCAACTTTCCAGTCCTCCAGTCAATCGATGCTACATGTCCTTTTCTTCCCCCAATAAGCATCTCTCTCCCATTTCTACTATAATCGAGTGTATACGGACCAAATTCTGGCAAGCTGAGGTCGAATTTCTTGTTGGCTGCTCCCACGTCTACGGCCTCAACGATGTCATCCTGTTTAAATTTGTACGTTCTTTCCATAGGCTCTTCTGCTTCCAAAAACCCTGCCTCTTCTTGCAATAACATATCCGTTCCTGCTGCAGACATAACGGCCTCCTTATACTGTCTATCCACTTTTTTCAAACCGGCATTCAACTTCTTATCTTTAGTATATTTAGCCTTTCTCTGTTGCTTCGATCCACCTCGCTCGAATTTTTCGGTATTGGACCTATCATAAGATCCCATCTTCCCTGTGAGTGCCATGTTAACTATATTATGACTCTTTAATCTTCACTATTGTATAATATTTCACTATGGAAATCATCATAAATTTTTTTTTAGTCCATCTCACTGCTCATTTTTGGTCTGCATACAACTCTTAAATTTGCATCATGGAAATTATCACCAAACTATCCCCCAACTAAAGTAGAGGTATCAATTAAGACTTTGTGTGTTTCAAAGTAGACAGAAAAGACGTTTGATAGCAGAATAATCTAAAGTGTTGCACAGCAAAATGAAATCGTTTGTTCGTTTTAATCAATTCAAGAGATTTTCTCATCGTTCAACGAGTGGATTTACGTCCAATTTAAGATCGACGAGACCAGTCTTACAATCTAGCTTTTTGTCTAGGTCGATCTTGTTTACTGCAGGAGTGTTTGGTGCTACAATTGGAGGGTTTTATTTATTTGATGCTAGGTCAGCAATCCATGAGTATGTTTTCTGTCCGTTAATCAGACACTTCACTAGTGCGGAACAGGGTCACAAGTTCGGTATTTTTTTGATGAAATATGGATTGGTGCCTAAGTTGTTGGACGAGCATCTCAATGACACATCGGATGTGTTGGGAGTTGATGTGTTTGGAACCAGATTGAGGTCACCTATCGGATTAGCTGCGGGATTGGACAAGGATGGTGAAGCCATCGATGCGTTGTTTGACGTTGGGTTTTCGTACGTTGAGATTGGGTCCATCACCCCCGAACCACAGCCTGGTAACCCTACTCCTAGGTTCTTCAGATTACCTAGAGACGATGCCGTAATCAATAGATACGGATTCAATTCTACTGGTCATTTCAACGTCGTTGCATCGTTAAAGGTGAGATTCGCCAAGTTGCTCGCAAGCTTTAGGATCAGACACAATGCTGATCAGGATCCAACTTCCAATTCATTCAGAGACGGCAAATTATTGGGTATTAATTTAGGAAAGAATAAATTCGGAGACGAAGTCACCGATTACGTGAAAGGTGTCAGCAGATTGGGTCCATATGCGGACGTATTGATTGTCAATGTTTCATCCCCAAATACTCCTGGCTTAAGAGACTTGCAAAGTGAGCTGAAATTGACTAACTTGTTGGCTACGGTGGTCAAGGAAAGAAATACCTTAGGTGTTAATCTCTTGAACAAGAAGCCCCCAGTCTTGGTCAAAGTTGCCCCTGACTTAACTGAGCCAGAAATCGAATCCATTGCTAACTCTGCTAAGGCAGCGAAGGTCGATGGGATAATCATCTCCAACACCACAATTCAAAGGCCCACCGAGAATTTACTCACCACCAACACAAATTTGATCAACCAAACTGGTGGGTTATCTGGTAAGCCATTAAAGCCATTATCCTTGAAGGCCTTAAAAACCTTGCGGAAGTACACCAAGGACTCTGACTTGGTTTTAGTCGGTTGTGGTGGTATCTCTAACGGAAAGGACGCATTAGAATTCGGTAAGGCTGGTGCCACTTTTATCGAGTTATACACGGCTTTTGCCTACAAAGGCCCTGCATTGCCATCCAAGATCAGAGACGAATTGGTCGCCGAATTGAAGAAAGAAGGCAAGACATGGCAACAGATTATTGGTGAAGACGATAAATAGTTAAAGCAAAATTTCACGTGATCCAAAAAATTGAATTTTTGATTTCGGCCAAATCAATAATGTAAACAGAAGTAAACATACTATATATACGAGATAATCAACGAGGATATATATATACATTGTAAGAATAATGGCTTCATCCCCAAGGCCTACGACTCCCAACTCACAGAAGAAGAGATCTGGTCGTCGTCAGCTGCACCGCTCTTCTGGAGCTTATAATATACTCCCACAATCACCTAAGATACATTATCCAGTGGATCCAGATAATTTACCATTAGAGACGGCAGGTAACACAGAAAAGTTTGAGCTGCTCTCAGATGCATTGGAAGAACTCGATGTGAATATGACAAATCTACAGCTGATCCATGAGGCAATATCGGACGGGTTTAATGAATCCTTTGCTAGTTTCTTGTATGGATTGTCTATAACGATGTGGTGCGTTGATTTTCCGGGTTGCCCATCGAGAAATCAATGGGAGAAGCTCAAGTTGGTCGAGGGCTTAGACGATAGGATACTGGGGCTCATGGAGAAAATACGGCTGCATAGGGAGGAAAACGAGAGATTGAAGAACCGACTCGCGTCTAATGTTGTTGAATCTACGGAGGAGGGAGAAAACCATAGCGATGGCCATGAGAATAGAAAACCACAACATCTGCATAGGGTGGGTAAAGGGCCCGCAAGGCAAGCCGACAATGAGGGGGACGACACATATATGACAAACGAGGGCTCGTTTGTGGTGAACCCTTCAGCTCCGAGTGCAACCAGAATACCCCAGCCTGTGAAGACTGCTCCTAGAAGATTCACCAAACATACACCACCACCAGCGGATACAAGCATGCATTCAAATTACAGGGGTCCGAATCTTAACCAACCCCCAAGATACATGCGGGGGTTGTTTGACAGTACCAATCGCCCTACTACACCCTCTAACAATAGGTCCAAAAGAGTCGCTAATCCGAATAGAGTCCAAAAGGCTACTAGTAGACCCCCATTTCGATAATTATTTGTGTATTATATATATATATTAGTGAATGTAATCCTAGCCAAGCATAAATATATTGCTGATTTAGTTTCTATTAATATTGTAGGATATGCCTGTTGATCCGTAATTCGTTACTATCATTATTTTTTGACGCTTATAGGATATTGAAAGCATTTTCCTTCGTCACATTCAAATCAACCTTCAGTTAATTTTAGCATGAGTTCATGTTTAACCTGCTGAACTGATTTTTGCTGCTGACTGGCAATTACCAATAAATAATCCTTATTTTCAATGGAGTTTAGAATAATTTGCCTCCTGAGTTGTTCTTCATAGCTTATGGATGTATTATCGTTGGATTCTTGGGCCGACGACATTACTGGTTAACTCATACAAACCATGATTGTAATATTGGCGAATTTTGTGTGCGCATAATTTATCACTTCAATTTTTAAATTTATCACCACCATTTAAAACACTTTCAAGGGTACAATTAAGCATAAAAATGTCCGAACAGCCATTGTCCCAAGACGAAAAGAGACGTCTTTTGAGAGAAAGAAGACAAGCCAAAATGGCCAGGGGTAAAGCTAGTGAAAGATTGAATAATATCCTTTCTCAAGGCTCTTCCGTAAAAGATACCACTGATGCTGTTTCGGTCTTCGATTCCAAGCCAGAATCGACCTCTTCATCTACGAAACCAACAGAACGTTCCCCTGTTGTAGGTTCACATCGTGATCCTGAGGATGATCCAGAACTTATGGATATTGACAATGTTACACCTGAAACTAAGGTGGATGAGGCCGATATTGACCAAATGTTGAGCAATATATTTGGAGCAAATGTAGGGGGAGATGCAACAGGTTCAAATCAAGACGACTTCTTAGCTAATATGATGAATATGATGAAGCAGGGGGAGGGAGTAGATGGAAGTACTGGAACAGCAGAGCCCCAGGAACCTGGTTACCAAAGCCAATTGAATGCCTACAATATATATCAACAGAAGTTATGGAAGTTCAGATTTTTGATCATTAGATTCGCTGCTGTTTTGACTAATTTCTTTTACCATTACTTAACGATACAAGATTATTCGTTCACGTCATCACCTCACTTCTATATTAGAGCCTTAGCTCCACACCCGGCAGTGAATAGTTTCATCACCTGGTTTCTGACATTCGAAGTCGCTATATTGGCTTCATTCTACTTAATTACCTCTAGAAATAACATTTATGCTAATGCTAGTGATGGAAACTTGCTTCTTAAAGGTATTTCCATGGGAGCAATGGTGCTTCCTCAATTGCGTGCCTACCAACCATTGGTTATTCGCCTTGCACATTATTGGGAGGTATTTAGTATGTTATTAGGCGACGTATTTCTCGTCGTGGTGTTATTTGGATTGATAAGTATTTACAATTAAATTTGATTCATAAGATATCATGCTATACATAGAACATATTGTCATGATAATTAAATATATACATTATTGAATATTAATATTTCACTAATATTACCACTTATTCTTCATGTCCCTTCTCTTTGCTTCTATAACCTTTTCGGCACTCAGGTATTTTCTTTTTTTGACAAAGTTATAAATTAATAAACCTGCACTCACAAAAGAAAGGGAGAACCAAGTTACCAAATATTGCATATGGTTATTAGAAAATTTAACCTTTGGATAAGCAGCAATAGGAACCCCTTGGTCTATGAATTCAAATTCTTGATATTCTAAAGTTGAGTCTTCGTCCGCCTTAGAAGAGATATATAATACATCACTATTATCTGCCTCATTCGTCGTTTTAGAAAATCCAAGCCATTTCTTCCAAGATGAAGTACTCACTTGCTTTTCCTCGGCCTTTCTCCACTCTACGTTATCCTTCAAACTATAGATCATTTGGCAGTAGACTGGTAGAGAATGTGACTGTTCTGCCATTACCTCAACATCAGGCACATAGAATAACCTTGATCCCATATCATGATCAAATTGTAAGTTTGATTTCTTTGGCATAACTCTAAATAACGCTTCAATTTCAATTTCCCCTTGTGGATATGCCAAGTGACTCAAATAACCTCCTTTTCTATTTTCAGGGATGACTTTATCCTTATGAATCCAACCTCTTTCTATCAATATCGGCGCACCCCCATTGCTTCTTACAAAAGGACAAACTACAAGATATCCGGTCATACCATTCTTAATTCTAGGTCCCAAGAACATCTCTTGTGAGTAATCAAAATGTCCTTTAGTCTTAAACCTCCTATATTCAAATTCGTCAATAATGGCAGGATCAAGATTTGGAGGAATTTCTTCCAATGGTGGCTGGGCTAATGAATTTTCACTTTTTGAAATTAATCCTACCTTCCATTTCAACCTCTTCACTTGCCAACATCCCAAGAAAAAACTAATAACAGGCATTGCAATCATTAATCCCAAAAAAAACCTACGTAATATTGGAGTCCCTGCCTGCTTTTCAGCAGCTGCAAGGTTTGTTTTCGAAGATGTAAGTGGACTCCAATCGATGGTGGGAGTTTTAACCGTTCTCTTGGTGATTATGGAGGAGGTCTTTATTGTAGTTCTATTAGTCGTTCTTGAAACCAATAGAGATAAGTATCTCCTTTCACAGAGCCTTACACCAATACTGGTGGCCCTTTGACGACGTTTAAGTACTTCAAGCATTGTGAATTCTGGAGACTATACTTAGTATTAGACGTCCTAGTCTTTGTTGGTACAATTATAAAGTAATATATCACGTGACAAATTAAAATTATAGTATTATAAAAATTTATGTAAAGAAGAAACTAGTATACTAATAAAACAACGATGTTGAGCCCACTAACAGTCTTGGGTATACAAAACGACATATTCAATAACAGCGGATGATCCATCTTGGAATGTGGTGGTAGTTGCGGATGTTGACGTAGAATAGTCACCCTTTGGGATGGAGGTAGTTGATTCTGACACTGCTGCTGCCGCATCCGACAAAGCTGAGAATGATGGGAAAGAAATAGATGAACTAGCCGAACTGGAGCCAGAGGTAACAGCCGAACTGGAGCCAGAGGAAACAGCCGAACTGGAGTCAGTGTTAACAGCCGAACTGGAGCCAGAGGGAACAGCCGAACTGGATCCAGAGATAACAGCAGAACTGGAGCCAGAGGTAACAGCCGAACTGGACACAGAAGTAACAGTTGAACTAATTTCAAAATCCACCTCTGAAGCAACTGCAGATACAGCAGAACCAAGAGTACTGGACACACTAGAGTCGACGTCTGTCTCATCAGAAGTAGAGGATCCGGTAGGGAATGGTATGCCCGTTGCTAAAACATACCTGGTGCTACCAGTAGCAGTGGTTGTGGTAAGCGAACTGTATGAATTGGTATAGATGTACGCCGTTTCAAAAATTTCTTCAATATAACCAATAGTGGTAGTCATCGTGATCGTAGGAGTAAGTGTAATGGTAGTGGTCGAGTCATAGCTGGTATCAGCAAGTGTCGCACTGACAAGAGATATGAAGATAACCGCAAGGTGGCTCAACATTATTGTAGGGAGTGATTTCAAAGGAGTGAATGCTGAAGAACATAGCATATATTATAACAAAAAACAGCTAAACATGGTTTTTATATTACTTCAATACAAAATACTCCATGTATAGAATAGGCGAACTATAGTCCCAATCAAGAAAATACAATAGCCAGCTCATCGTTCGAATAATTAATACAGATGATAGTTATTGTATTTTGCTGGCTGCGTATATTCGGACATCGAAATGGTACATTGATGACATTCTCTGGACAGAAGTCCTTGTTTTTTATCGTATAATTCTTGTTGATGCATCGATATTTCTTATTTTGCAGCTTCTAGCCAGCCATCCGAGATGTCAATACTGCATATAACATCACACCATTTTAAGTATTAGGCTAACCCAAGCTTGAACGACAAGGTATACAGAAAGGGAATAGAAGCCAACCCGGTTGGGATATTGCAAGCCATTCAACACTTTAAGGCGGAATTCCAAAAATACGAAATCGTAAGTACTATATACAAAGATTAGCCCATTGAACCAATGCAAGCATCGTACCGTAAACGTATCGTTCTTTGCATATTGGTAACTCTATTAAGCGGTCTCTGTATCTTAATTAGAGCAATCTCTATTCGAAGTCTGCAAATATCGTGATACGTGGAATACACGCGATGCACATTTTAAATACATGGATTATTCCTCATCGGGAGTTGTCCTCTTCTTAATGTCTTCAATTGCATCACCCAATTCAGGAAATTCTTTGCCAAGTTTATCGCCCAATACATCACGCAACTTCTGGAACCCTAGCATCTTTCCCTTAAGTCTTGCATTACTTTTTGCTGTCACTTCAACAAACTCTCTGGTATAAACGTCCGGGTTTCTACCATCTTCAATATACGAGATCACATCCACTGGGATTGGATACTGGTGTGTAAACCCACTATCTGTTAATGAGGAAAGCTGACTGATTACCTGATTGGTCTTATGGGTAAGGGCTGTATGTGATTGTTGTGTTCCCTGATTATCATGAACCAACACCCCTAACTCAATAAATGATTCAATCAAACCCTGTAATTGTTCTGTTGTAGATACCAACGGCTCGTTCCCCGAGTTTGCATCGATGGTCGCTGTAGTCATATTTGGTTATTTGTTTCAAATACAATCCGTTGTAAGAACAATAAAGGTATTTTTTTAGTATTTTCCATGTCCGTGGAACTGGTGCGAATTAAAAAAAAATTATGGATGAAGACCTTTTATTTGAAGAATTAGAATCTAGTACAAGTGCTTCAATAATTAGTTATACAAGATCAACGATGGAGTCGAAGATAGTAGTACTACGTTATAGTCCTGAAAAATTGTCAGAGAGTTTGAAGTCTTCAATGTCTTTAGCGAATGGAACATCTGAGGTAGACTTTTCTGTGGACAATTCTACCTTGGAGGATACATATCTTGGTTCGTCTAGAATAGTCAAATTACAATATAGTAATAGACATGGCGAATCATTCGATGGAAGCGATGGTCTGATTCCCCTTTCTCCTTCAAAATCGGTTCAACTGCATCCTAGTCGTTCGGCTACACCCCCAACCCTGTCCGGGTCTCAAGAAGTTGCAACTATTAGCAATTCGCAAGATTTGAACGGGGCTAGTCATACAAAGCATAAGAAAAAGTCCAAATACCGCTCCGGTCAATATACGTCCATATATAGGCCGTTTGATGATCTAGAACGAAGTTTGAGGAACGGAAGGTCCATGAAATCCAAGGATAGGCTGAAGTCTCAATCGCAGCTAAAAAATGGCCAATCCGTGAACACTAACCGTAATTCATATAGTGGCAGGGACAACAAAGCATCACGTAACCCTGCCACCACTATAAAGACGCATAAAGACGCCATAAATTCGATGGCCCAGTATAAGAAATTGTGCAAGACGTCGGATATAAGTCTTCAAGAGCTAGAGGACGATTGGCTCCTTAGTACGCGCATAATAGCCGAAAGACTACATTTTTTGAAAGAAGCTTACAAGGCCGTCCAGACAACAAAGAAATACAAGATGCAAGGGAAATCTGATCCCAATACCCAGCTACATTTGAATTCGAGTGTGATGGATTCGTCTTTGTACCTGGAGGAGGAACCTCCGTCCTCCAGTCAGAGTCAACCACCGTTGCTAAGAAACGACGACGATGATAGTGGCAGTAATAGTAATACCGACACCTTCATAACGATGTCAGACACCATGATGGGAACCATACGTCGTCCTTAACGTTGCTAAAAGCTTGATCTATTGATACATATATATACCTAGTAAAATACACATCCTGCATACAATTTATAGGGCATTTTGTTTGGAAAATTGTAGTAGTGGTTTAAGGAACAACCGATAAGGGAATACCATTTTCAAAACCTAATACATCTAATAATATAGACATATCAAGCCAATATGAAAGCAGTTGTTTCTACTGGTAAGGCATACTTTTGTACAGTTTTATCTGCATTTGGAGTGATTATTTTATCAGTTATTGGATATTTATTCAAGCTGGGCCATGAATCTATGATGGGGTCAATTAACGACCCAGAGGATGGAGCTGCTGTTGCGGGCACTGTTTTCAGTGCTGTTTTTGTCTACCTTGCATTCTTAGTTTTCTGTGGATTACAAATTATCATAATCAGAAGACAAGACAGAATTCAACTAAATTAACGGGAATCAAGTCTAAATTGCTTGTTTTCTGGACGATATATACCTAAAGCAAAATACCATACTCGAAACTTACCATCCAAGAAATTTGAAATAGGATACTCACATTCAGTTCAATACTCAAATCTTACACTTATCCATGTCAGCAATTTGTCGTTCACAGACATGTAATTTTCCATTCTCTTGATCGCTCTGTTTGATAGAACTTAATAAAATAACGATTTTACGTTTAATATATCTATTGTATAAATAGAATTGAATATGTAAGTTAAAAAGAGAATATGTAAATCACAACTTGGCTACACTATTTTTTCCTCCAGTCCAAGTAACACCGCCAGTCCAATCACATATATCGAAGACCAATAATCTTAACGAGTTCAATTCTTCTTTTGTATTACCAGTGTTGAGTGCCCCCTTCAAGTGCCCCTTCAATTGAGGATTGACATCTTGTGGGATCAAACTGGCCACTACGCACATTGACGTCTCTTTTGCCGATAAAATATCAGTAAAAGACAATAATGGAGAATAGACATTATAGAACGTATAGTTCCACAAATCTGGGTATGCATTGACCATTTGTCTCCTAATACGGTTATTAACCTTATTCGTGTATACCGAATTCCAGAAGGCAGAGCCACGTTCTAAATCTTTTTGTATTTGCTTGGTGTTGATAGACAGACTCGATATTGGCCCGTCAATAGTTTCCGAAGCAAGATCACCACTGACTTCATCATTTTCAAATTTAGTACCAGCGACATCCTCCTGAACAATATCTGAAGATGGAACATGGCCCGGATACACTGTACGTGGCCTTTCAGGGACACCGGATGGACGCATGCTGCTTGGTGTGACACTTTTCAAGATCATTAACGCATTAATGGATTTTGGTAATCCCGATAACGCTGCACACTTTAATATCACCTCTCTAATCTTGGCTGCTACCGTTGTTTGTGTAGCAAATATATCTTCTCTTCTCGAGAATTTGAAGTTAAGTGGTAACTTATCGTAGTAGTTATAAGGTATGAGAACATCCGGTAAATGGACCCCCACAGCAGATAAGTCTTTAAATTTCTCGGATGAAGATATAGAATCTTCTGCAAGATTTAATAAGTACTTGTCAGTAAGCAAAAGATTATCCGAAGATGAAGAAAATTCTAATAACTGTTGTCTTAAAGCAAAGTGGAATACTTTGGGGATCTCCTGGGGTTTGTTGACAACAGTCAAGCACGCACAAGCAATTATATACCACGAATTATGCAACGATGGGTATTTATAAGCAAGTCTCACAAGTCTTTCTGGTGTTAATACGGTCATTATAACTTAATGAGAAGGATGTTATAGATTTAGAATGAATCTAGTGTCTTTTTACTAGAAACCTGGGGTGTTCTCAATATTTTCTCATGCGAATTCACCTTATCCGAGGTTACTGCGAATTGTATGAAGAGTGATTGGGTATGTATAGTCTATTGATTTCTATATATTATATCCCCAGAGTAGTAGTTCTATCATTTATTGTTTCTCATACTTGATCTAATCCAAGATTTGGCAATTTTATCTTTTAATCTCTTCCCCTGTTCTGATGACCAGGAACCCATCGACCAGAAATGATTCAATCTATCAAAAACAGGTGCTATACGGGCATTAAATTGTCTGAAAGGTATTTCATGACCTTCTGAATAGTCTTTTGGTAAAGTATCAACTAGCATTTGATTTGCAATTTGTCTTACTGATTTGTTATCTTTGATTAGTTTGTCTATTTTAATATCCACTGTTCCGATGTCCAAATTTGAATTGCCCGAGCGAGTATCATAGATAGATTCTGATTTCTTTTCCCAGGGCCTCATAGATTCATCGATTGGGACCCATCTGTTGGCATTTTTCCAAGCTTCTGATCCAACCATTTCTTTAATTCTCAGAACCGCTCTTTTGTAAGCAAACTTTTCGTCCTCACCAGTAAATGCCTTTAAGTTTTTGAAATTAACAGGATTTCCGTGTTTGGAGTCAGGATCCTCATTGCCACTACCAAAGAGTCCGACTGTGGGCTCATTATGCGCAGCTGTATGATCTTGATCATAGGATGAGACGTTTGGTCTATATGGATTCGTCATATCAATCGTAGTTCTTGCAAACATTTCTTCATCTTGAACATCCAATCTATTATGATTTAGGTCACTCTGCTTCTGTACATGGTCGGGCAACTTACCTTCAATTTGGTCGGGGAAGAATAAATAGTCTACTTCAACATCACTTCGTATGAATAGTTGACATTTTGCTTCATACATAGCATCCAACAACGTAATGAATCTTCTGGCTTCATTTTTCATTTTGAGAGTCAACATAGGAACATTATCAAGAATAATAGTCCTGTAACGCGATGCTAGAGTGATGTAATCCGAAGCGGAGAATAACCCCTGGCATATATATGTGAAATCTAAATAGCAGACCGTATCACTTTTGAACGTTAAAGGGATATGTGTAGTTCTACTGTAGACAGTCAATGATGAAGGGATACCACCTAATGTATCTAATGGACTATTATCTGTGACTTTTGGTGACTCTTCGGGAATTCCCAACGCTTTCACCTTAACCAATTTTAGCCAATCCTTTTCGTGGTTCACATTCAACAGCTTATCAATTAAATACAGGTCAGTTGAAAGGCTTGCCAACTCAGATCTATAATCTTTTGTTGATCTCATATCAACAGACTGACACCTCGCGTGTAATATTCCTACGAAGCTTTTGAATTTAGTTTTATGAAACTCATTTGAATAAAGGTCTTCGGGCAATTTGTTAGATGTTGCAACTAGAACACCACCTAATTTAAAGTAATATGTAAACAATATCTTGATAATATTAGCTGCTGCGATATCTGGCAACATGAATTCATCCAACATTAATACAGTATTCTTATCAATCATTTTCTGAGCAATTTCAAACAATACGAATTCGTTCTCCATACTCATTTTGCGTTCAGCTTTGTTATTAGACATTACAGTAGTAAAATGCCTTTCCTTTCTGATCTTATGCATTTCATTGAAAACCCATAGTATAAAGTTATTGTAATGCCATCTCATCTTCGACTTATGTGGCAAAGAAGCAGCAAATATATCCATAAGCATGGACTTACCACATCCAACTTCACCATTAACTAATAGACCTTGTGGGGATTCAAAATTATACAACTCTTCTTCGTCTGTCATCGTCCGTACTAATTGTCTCTTCTCAGCCATGGGGTCTTTCCGAAATATATTTTGTATCGACCTCAAATTTAGTTGTGGTATAGTCAGACCCAGTTCTCGAATAGATGCCTCAGCATGTTTTAATTCAATCTTCCTAAGGAGCAAACTTATCTTTATCAGAAGTTCATCCGGTGGTGAATAGTCTATAACTCTGTGATACAATTTTTGAAATTCTTTCATCACTCTTAACTGGGACTCATCTTTTTCTAATAATCCTTGTTGAACGTAGTTCTGATATAATAAAAACGGGTCTGTTATTGCAATACTGGTTTCCTCCGAAATCTTTAATTCTGAGTTAAATGATGGTGTTCTTCGATCAACACCATGTGGACCAGATCCCATACTCATACTCATACTACTATAGTGCCTTAAATCCTGACGAAGTCTATTCGGTACACAAGCTTTTAGAATATTCGTCCTAACATCCTGAACTAATCTTTTAGTTGACATAGTAGTTAGATAGTTGTATTAGGAAAGCTTCGGTGGACCCCAGTTTAACTTTTTTTATCTTATCCGATCAGTGGTCTAAATCCGCGAAAAATCGGATCATAGCTACGCCAATATGTACCGTGAAAATTGTTGATTAATCTATATATGCAAATGCTTATTTATCACCAGCCGTACCTTTTGTAGTATTAGATAAATTCATCTGCGCAAATTTACGATCCAAAGAATTGGATAAGCCATTCATTTCTTCGTCCGATCTACCGTAAAGCTCATACCACCATTTAATGTCTGTGAAATTAAAAAATAATACACCATCATCTTGCAGACTATCAGAGTCAGGCGAGTACAGTTTGTTTATAAACTCAGCTGGCCTCGAGTTAAAGTAGTCCCATACAGATACAGTGGACCTACTGACTTTATTGACTTCAGACTCTCTCTCACTATCGCATAAGAAGGACCCATATTGACAAGAGTAATAGTGATAAAACAATCTTTTCAAAAACCTGCTATTAAATTCGAAAACTGATGGATTCTGGCGGTACAACTGGTAGACGCAATCTAAGAATTGATGGAAAATCGGAGATTTCTCGTTACTACCAGAATACGGGTAAGAAGATGAAGCAGACTTACCATTTTCAAGACTGTCAGTATCCAAGTTGGACTGTGAGGATGCTGCAGATGCTGAATTCTTAATATGGTTTGCAGCTCTTTGAAAGAAGGAAGTAACTGTTTTTCCCGTGTTGCTAATACCAATTACGGAGTTCTCATTCGTCTCAGAACTCTCTAATGACGGCAGAGACAGTGACGCATTTTGGTACAATTCCTGTTGCTGCTGTTTCTGCACAGTGGCACCAATACAACCACCGTGGTCGGCCCTGGTGAAAAATTTAAACCCAAAACTTACCCACTCCTTTTCAATTAGCACCATAAACCCTTTCATCGTTCTGTAATATGGATCAAGACACAATTGCAGCAATGCCGACACTTGCGACGTACGATCCCACCCATCGGAACAATGTATGACAACATTAGTATTATTTAAATGGATGGACTTTGTTATGCGGTCCACAGATTGCAAAATTATTGAAAGTCGATGTAACCATTGCGTTTTCGTAAGAGATTGTTGAAGCAATGGGAACGTCGAACGTCCATCAATATTTGAAGTGACAGGATACTTATCTAATTCATTCAAAATAAATGTTAGTTTATTCAAAGAATCTCTCATGACATGAATATTGTCAATATTACAAAATATCTTGTCTACTTGTCGCAGGGTACTTTCATCATCTTGAGAAGCTTGTTCTTTGTCTTTCGAGGTTTTCTTAGATTTGCTAGCTCGGTAATTATCTATATTTTCTGTTCCAGCACCCAATGCATGTTGTGCCATTGCATTTGTAATGGGTCTTAAATCAACAATCAAATTTCTTTGAGGTTGACTTTGCAAGACATCTTCAGTGGACAAACAATCAAATCTCTCTCTCTCTTGGCATTTAAAAATCTCCCCTATAAGTTTTTCATCTTGAATTGACCTATTTTGTAGATTCAAACCGACCAACGGTTGGGAACACCTTGCGATCACATTACCATTTATACTGGCTCGATGTCTATATACAATAGACGGTATTCTCAGCTTTGATCTGAATTTACCTGCGTGTTTCAAAACATTGTCAGATATCGTAGAGGGTACGACGAGCATGTTAGGATATGATAAAGAATATTTATAGTCATCATTTATTCTTGAAATTCTCCAATAAGCTTCATTTTCAGAAACCAAGCCCTGCCTCTTATACTCAGCAATAGGATCGTATATGTCCCATCCTTTAGTTTCAAGGTTTTGTTCCAACGTATTGGGTTTGTAGTCAAATGCATAAAAGGCTCTTATGTCATTTTTTGTCTTAGGTGTTGTAATTAAATTGCTCAATTTCAGAAACACTTCTGCACATGTGGAATCATTAACAAAGTCAAAAGAATAGTAAGTAAAATCCTTACATTGGATACGTATATGTGATGCACTATAATGGTCAAAATTCTCGCCCAGGTACAGCGGTGGTTTTGGAGAGCTTTCATGATTACTACCAAACGGTGAATTGCTATTATTATTAATGCTATCTATCCATGATGATCCTCTCGCCTTAGATATTTTATCAATTATTGGATAGCAAAACCATATTTCTTTCGGATTTGAATCGTCTCCAGATGTGCTTGGAATAAAGCTAAATACGAGATGATAAGGGGATAAAATTAATGTACCCGAAATACAATAACCTCTACGACTTAAAGTGACATTTTCCACCGTCGACACTTTCAGTTGTTCCATCCTATTCAAATAGAATGTATATCTATTAAACGTAGTTGAATCCTGATGATATCTCTTATCGATCATATTTCAACGAGCTCGAATTTCTGATCAAGCGGTCATACTAATCGAGACGCACACTTTGTGTATAATATGAAAATTATGTACATAATAACGTATACAATATTTATCTCCTATAAATCATCAAATCTACGTATACCATGTTCATGCTTTTGCATGTTTCTGATTTGTTTAGTTGACATCTGCTTCGCTTTTAATTTTTGCTTCTTTTTATTAGGTTCTTCAGGTTCTTCAGATTCTTCATCGGCATTTTTGATCGATTGTTCTTTAGTTAATTTGTTAATATCAACGACCTTTTTATTTATATTAGTCTTGTTAGATATTTCTGGAACATTAAATCTCTTCTTACGAATTATTTGTAAAGATTTAGTTGGTTGTTCAGTATCAGACAATTGCAGTTCTTCACCACTGACGTCTTCAAATTGGTCTTCATTTGAATCAGAATCTGCTACATCCAACTTTTCGTCCAGGACATCGTTTCCATTTTCACTATCAGAATCGGGAGAAAAATCATTTACCTCGTCTTCAATATTTGTGATATTATCGACGTCGCTGTCGTCGCTATCACTATCAGCACTGGCGATATCGCTGTCACTATCATCACTATCGCTGTTCAAGATTTCTTCTTGGTTGGACCATATCTTTAAACTATCCATACCGGCACTAATGAGTCTATAATCGTAATCAATATCCAATATACCAACTTCGTCAGCTGGGCCATGTTTTCCAGCAGCAGATGAATGTACCCTTGTTTCAACAACTTTTCCCTTCTTATAGTTAATCCTATGTAACAAACCTTCACTATCCCCACACCATACAGAGTCCACCATTTCTCCGTCGTCACAATTCATGGTAGGAATAATGGCATCAATTGAAGCGTCCTTGTTGACTTTAATACGAGATAATTGATCCATGAGTCTGTTCTTTGAATTCTTCCAAATAGTGACAATACCTTCTCCATGTGACACTAAAACAGTGTCATTCTTATTATCATTAACATGATCGGAAGCAAAGCACATCGAGAGTAATTCATCCTCTTGATCATCTGATTGGGTTATAATACCTTTACGAATATCAATATGTGATAAAGTAGTAGAACCAAGCGTTAAATAGTGATAAGCTGAAACTGCTGGAATTGGTAAAATATGGTTTATGGAATCATCATGCGCTTTTGAGACGTTGAATTTCAATTGATTTGAAGCCATATTGTTACTGTCATAAACTAAGACATCACCATTTTCAGTGCCCGACAACAAAAAAGGATGGGATGTAGAATGTACAAGCTTAGTTATCGCATCGTTCTTGTCAGAATAGTGTTCTGATATGGTAGCCTTAGACAACACCTTCCCTGTTTCAGTGTTCGCCTTTTTGATTATATGGTCCGTGCCTACTGAATAGATATTTTCACCTAATGAATTTTCAAGAGGATCAAAAATAGCTGACCGACAAGACCCTTTATGTCTTTTAGTTTTCCAGTTATTTACAATATTTGAACCATCCGGAATGTCGGTATTATCTTCTATGACTGTCCACCACTTCTGTTTCAGTTGCGACACAGATCTGTTTATATGAGCTATTTTACCTGTCTTAAATGCTTCTTTCTCTAATAATGAAAGCCTTTCACGTTTAGTACTTTGAGCTTCTTCTAATATATCAGCATCGTATGTGCTACAATAGATATGTCCAGTAGCCAATCCTGATAATAAAATTGGTTTGGTTGGATGAGCAGCAATTGTAAATAACGGTTCGGGATATTTAAGCTCGACTATAGGTGAAACAGACGATTCTAGTAATCTAGCTGCATTGGTAGCATTCGACTTCTTCTTCTTAGCCATGCTTGTGTCTTATAATTTAAGCTATGTAGATAATAGATAGAAACAATTTATAAGATGAGATGAGATGATATAAAAATGCGCATAGTCAAATTCAGCCTTGACTATAGATACATACTACGAAGAATTACAGTCAATTCAACGAAGAGTACTACAAATTGCTTAGAATACATTATTTCTAACAATGCTCTTGTCTAATAGTATAATTTTTAAAAACTTTCACCTCTAAATCACAAATACGAAGATCTGAAGATATAAATCGTTTGACTATTATTATAGTCTTTCCATTTTGAAGATGTTAAACTATTTCACCACTAGTCATTAGTTCAAGCCTCGGGTTCATTTCTGAAGTTGAATCCTATGAAATCAATTTAGAAGAAAATAAAGTAAAAGAAATAGTGTAGTTAAGCTAAAGATTTCTGAACTTCAGACAATACACAGTGAAATTCAGGTATTCTTATGGTATTTAAGCATATTATGACAACTTCCAACAATTAAATTATACAATTGAAACTCACAACAACGAAAAAATAAAAATACATAGCATATAATAATAACAACAATTTAGATAAAGATCTAATGAACTAAATATTATTTAACTAATCTTAAAATATATCACCACAGTTATCCAACTTTCCATCTCTCCTAAGTTTCCAGTATTCATCTTGAAATTCCCAATAGTCATCTCCAGTGACAGGATGCGTACTCTTAACAAACCAATTTGGTTCGTAAGGTTTCTTGGTTGATTCTCTCTTCTTTCTTGCAGCTCTTTGTTTTTCCTCAACTCTAACCTTTTCATCTGAAGCCAAGTCATATTCGCCATCTTCCATAGCTCTTTGATCAGGTCTAAGTCTGGTATCAGTTGGTGGTAAATAACGTTTTAAATTATTATCGATACCATTTAACGTTATAGCAAAGGAAGTTAAATTAAATGGCACTTTAGGTCTTGGAGCTGCTTGCCAGACCAAAAACTTGTTACCACTTTCTGGATCATTTGATGTCTTCGTATTAGCCACAGATTCGGAGTCCACTAACGAATTGCGTCTCTTTTTATCTTCTTCAGGATTACCGATAACTTTCTTAGCAAAAATCTTGGAATTCCAATGTCCACCCATAGCCCAATGAGTCTTACCAGTTTCATCAACAACATGTCCCGATAATTGATAAGCAGACGCAGCTCTCCAACCTCTTTGCTTCATATCAACAATAATTTTATCACCTGTAGTGTGGTTTGTGACTTCCATCTTACCAAAATTATCTACAGTAGGATTACCAATCATAATACCAACTACTGACGTATTAACTTTCTTCCAACTATACAACTCTTCGTCGACAGTTTTACCATCTTTACTCTGAACACCGTTATTAGGCCTAATAACACAAAACATTTTACCAAGATGCTTGAAATCAAATGATCTCCCCTTGAACGCAGAGGCAACTGCATTTTCACCGTAGTAATCCCAATTAACAGATTCGGCACTACATGCACTAATTGGCGGGTGGTGACTAACTTGCTCAACAATCAATCTGTATTTATGGTCTGGACGACAATACTCGAAAGTCTCTCCCAATAATGGGTTGAAAGGCTTCGCAATTCTATTAATAGTAGATGCATACTCTGATGCTGCAAATGTTGCAACATAAACCATACGTAAAGTTGAATCATCTATTTGCGCAGCTTTATCCAATAAGGCTGAGTATTCAATGTCTTCAGCCAATCTTTGTAATAAAGACGTACACTCGTTAAATGAAACTGGCAACGTCATTTTAGTCATATCCTTACCTATCATTGATTTCAAGATACCCCATAAACCTATTTGAGGTCTGTTGTCTTCACTTAAGCCCAACTTATCTCTAGGAGGGTTTTCATAACCTAGGAAAGAACCTTCATCATTAATTTTATTGAGCTTATACTCCTGACTTTTAGTATAGACTTCTGCATCAACAGCATTTAAAGCATCTTTTTCATTAGAAACATTATCTCTCGACCTTTCGGCCTGTGAATCGTCAACCTTTGTAGCTGTTGAATACGTCGATTCATCATCATGGTGTCCACCTGCAATACCAGAACCAGTTGCCGCTGCAGCAGTACCAGCAGCACCACCTGTTATAGCAGCCGACGAACCACCCTGGGGTTCACTATCTACTTTCTTAGTGGTGGTTACATCATCATTATCGACAGTGGCAGATTCAGGTTCTTCATTACTTTCATCAAATTCACCGGCGTCGAAAAATTCATCATCAGAATCGTCATGTAAAATATCTTGAACAACCCTGCCATTATCAATTTCATCATGATTTTCAAAGTAGTCATCTCCTTCTGCTATGTATTTATTTTCGGTACCTTTTGGCGTCTCAGCTGAAGCGGATTGGTTGTGTAAACCAATAATACCACCAGGTCCCAAGTCCGATTTAACGCCTTGCTCGGAAAAGTTAGGAGTTGAACTACCGGGCGTTCTTACACCGGCTCCACTTGAAAAGTACTTTCTCAATTGCTTCTTCTTGTCTTCAAATTCTAATAATTTTTCTTCACGTTGTGCAATTTCATTCTCTAATTGACGAATGGAATTCTCCCAAAGCCTATTAATTTCAAATTGTCTCTCTAACTTACGCGATACTACTTTGTCTCTTGAATTAATCAAAGAGTCATATTTAACAAATAATTCCTGAATAAGAGTCAACGTATTTGTACCAACTGAGGAAATATCTAAACCATCAGCATGAGTTGCATTCAGTGAATTCCTGAATACATCTAAAAGACTTGACATCTCAATATCCAACAAGCGTCTTGTTGAAGAAATCTGATCATTTAACTGGGAATTATTAAACTCATTGGATGCTAGATCACCTCTTTGGTCTAAAGAATCATTCTCACTTTCGTATGCACCGTCTATATCATCCAAATCATAATCAGGAGCATCAAAATTTGGACGGTCTTCACTAAACCTGGCTGGAATCTTGTTTTCCTTTATTTGAGTCAAGTTTGGAGATACGCTACCAGCATTAGGTTTAGCTTCTGCATCGCCAATGGTATCTCCGGACATAGTCGAAAAAGTGCTTGCCCTGGATGTTGGGTTCTCGTCTTCAAAACTACTTGCCGAATTTAACGAGACCTGACTACCAGTTCTTTTATGTTTCTTACGCCCAGGAATATGAAGCTTATGACGAAGCTTTTTCTCATGAGATTCTTCATGGGATTGTTTCCTTTCAGGGTGCCTTTTCCTCAAATTGTCTTTAGCAATTGTAATTGCGTTTTGTAATGTCCAAACCCATCTATTAGTTTCTATCGGATGGTTTGCTTTCAAGTGCCACCTAATATCATTCTTACCGATTATTTCAAATTTCAACTTTTCGGACGAGTCCAAATGTAAAGTAGCGAAACCTAAATTCAAGGAACCCCTACATGAATTATTAGTATCATCTTGGTTAGCATAATAGGATAAAATCCCGTGTTGATCCAATACAAAGTACCTTAACTTATAACCAGACGCAAAATTAGTCCATTTTCTGAGGTAGCCTTTGTAAGTTGGAGCACCTCCAGATTTAATAGCATTATTGGTATTTATTACTGGATCCATTATGTTTTCGTCTTTTGATGCCGACTTAATTAGCTTCTTTAATGGATCATTTTTTCCATTAATCAAGTCAGTAGGTAACTTTCCTCTCTTGTCTCTCTTGAAAGGGTCACCACCATGTCTTAAAATCCAGTCACACATTTGAATGTCATCCTTCTTAATAAATTCATGCAAAACAGTGTTTCCAGTGTCAGGATCTGCTCCGTTGATATCTAATAATTCAGAAGCTCTCGAATTATGCACCAATAAGGCTTCTAAATTTTCAAAGTCTCTGTTACTGAAATATTGACGGAGTTGACAGGCAGCAGTTTCAACAAACTTGGCCCTCTCAAACTGCATCAATTGGATAATATTCATATCCTTACATAATTCCACAGGCTGCTTCTTCTTCAAATTCACAATTGTGTCGTTGATATCCGGTAACGACAAGAGATATTTGACAACTTCCATCCTCGAGAATAAAGCAGCAAGATGCAAAGGCGTGTTCCCGTCTCTATCCTGCGAGTTGATATCAAGGTCAAATTCCTTGGAATTTTTCACCAAGTACTCCAATGTAGACATTGGCGCCACCTGCACCGCATAGTGCAAAATTGTCTGCTTCAAGAGAGCAATATCCGTGGTGTGTGTTGTGGATGCTGTGGACGATAATTCATGAATTATAGCACCAACTCTATCGTTATTTCCACTTCTCAAAGCATCCAATAACTTAAGCCTTAGCAATGATGCATTCAACTGGGACATGGTTTAATTATCTGTCTTTTCGAAAATCACTTAGCTTGTCGTCTAATTTTGCTTTATTTAGTATTCACTTTCCTTCAGAACTTTTAAATATACTAATTTGATCAATTGTTACGCTTATGTACTAGTATTATACACAATAAACTCTGATATGTTCAAATGGTATGATTTTGACAAGTGTTTCTGATGGATTATTTGGAATTCTAGTGATATTTAATGCCGATCATGAATAAATGAGTGATATCTGCTAGACTGTATATACCGAGTAAATTGCTACCATGCGATATCTTGTGACGTTACAAACTTTACATGATTCTAGCTGGCTGGATGTCTACATTGAATGTGTGCTGCCTAATGTTGCTATTTATTCCTTACGTCAGGATCCTTCTCCAAACAATATAGCCTAATTTTAAGCTGCTTCTATAGTAGTATAGAAGAAAGAGGCATTGCTAAAGCGGTTTGGCTGCGCAACCACGACATTATTGGACTTTCACAAATTACGACTATCGACAGACCTGACGTCATACCAAAATTTGAAGATTGCTTCGCTTCGACTCTGATGCGCGCGGACTTGGACATTTTAAGAGGAATGAAAAAACTGATTCACGTGATTTGGAATTGGTCTTCGCTCTGGACTTATTACGGTGCATTAGTATGTTGATTTCAACGGAACTGATAGTTGGTATAATA